TATAGACAGGTCTGACCCATCAACGGCGCGTTAACTGCCGCAAAAACTGAGATTGGAGACATCCAAGCATGCGCGAATGCACTTGTGGCATCGTTAAGAAGGCACAACCTGAGTATCCTCGCTGTTCAAAGCCTGCCAAAAGCTTTCATTCTGCAATGTTCAGCAGACGACTCTGCGCAACAGCAGAAAACGTTGAGCCACGTTGGTCAACTTCCCGAGCTTGAAGGGCGCCTCCTATCCACAGAAAACACCGCAAAACACAAGCAATTCTGGCTTCGCAGGACAGGCCTCCACAGTTGCAGTTCTGCCTTGCTGCAGCTTACGACGAGATGCAGCTGCTTTGGACAAGCCCCCGTGCGCTCAGCGCGACGCTGCCCAAAGTGACTAGAACAAGGGCAGGTGCGCAGCCAACGAGATCTGGTTGCTTGAGCCCACAGCACAATTTGAAACTGAATTGGGGGCGCAAAAACCGCAACCCAAAACTGAGACCGTTTGGCAACCCCAGTTTTGAAGTTGCAGTTCTTCTATTTGGACTTAATTCCGCGCTGTCCAGACTGCTACACTTAGCGCGGACGCAAACTACTATGCCTCTTAAACTGTTCCGGAAACCACACAGAGAGCAGTTCAAGAGGCCTCATAACTGGGGCCTGCTTTGCAGAGGTTTCAGTTTAAGAGGTCTAATAACTGGACCTTTTTTTCCCCCAAGTTGAGCGAACAAATGCGATCCACCCCACACACCGTCTGGTTTTTGGATTGTAAAAACCGTGCCTCTGTACTAGCACCACTGATGGCCTAATGTACAGGGGATCAGAGCAACCTGGTTCAGCCGGTTGAATCCCGGTTCAACCCAGGTTCAACCCAGGTTCGACCCAGGTTGGACCTTTAAGCCCCCTTTAAACCTCCGATTGGGCATGCAGAACCCCCACTTTGAAGCCCAGGGCAGACCAAGAAAACTGTAAAAACTTCAACCTGGGTTGAACTTGGGTTGAACCGCTTGAACCTGGGTTGTTCAATCTTAAAAAGGGACGAGACTGTTGCAGGGAGAAGGGAATTATTCTAAATTCTACCCCCTTGAATTTCTCGCTGGTCAACAAGAAAGGGACCGCATGTCATGGCGGCAGCCGATGCTTACGCGCAAGGACAGAGTGCTGGTATTGGAGGCTGGTGGATGCTACCGAGCGATGGAATTTGCCCAGCGTCTTTCTTTTGGTTTTCGATTGCTGTTCAGGCAGCAGAGTTGCCGGACTGGTTTGTGCAGGAACATGGTCGATTTGCAGAAATACATTTGCGCGCTAGAAGCTTTGGCCCAGCTCGTGCTCAGCGAGTTGTTGATCGCGGACAGTCGAGTTGGTCCAACGTTCTGGTGTGTAGGACAGGTGGTGCTACGACAAAGTTGCGACAATTCGAGGGTCTGCGGCGCTGTCAGCAAGGCTTCGTCTGTGCGGCGACCGTTGGCGACGTTCTGCAGACTATGGCTACGCTGTGCATGCAGCGCCAGGTTTTTTTGCAGGTATCCCATGTTGCAGGTCAGCGGAATACCTGGGCAGATCTGTTGAGCAGAGGGAGGGCAGGAAGCGATTCGCAGAAATTCTGGCGTCACTAGACTCCCACCGAAGCCGTCAATGGCGTTAACTGGTGCTTGTTGCGCTTTAATTGCTTCTTTCAGGTTGCTGGCCGCGCGATGTCTGGCATTTTTTGACACCAATGGGTATATGGTGGCCTGGCACTTTTGGCAGCGGCTTTGCGTTGGATGCTGTCAGATAAATGGAACGGATGCATTTATCACTTGCTGCCAAAAGTGTCCCTCGTGTGATACGCATAGATGGGATAGCTACTAGACGAGAGGGATCAGGCGTTGCTGTTTTAAAATCCTGCCAGCATGCCACAACACTGTCAAAGCCGGTCTGCCCCCCGCTGAAAGATTGAATACAGCATGCTTCTTGGGATCCTTAGAGGCTTTGTTCCTTCAGGCACTAGCAGGCATTGCCCTTTCAAAATTCAGCCAACATTAACATGCCACAAAACTGTCAAAACTGTTCTTCCCCAATTGCAGATTTGAGACAGCACGTTTTGTTGATCTCGAGGGATTAGCTTTTTCAGGTTTAGGATGACAAGAAGCAACACCAGCAGACACAGCTCTTTCAAAATTGCTAGCATAGCACAATACTGTCAAAACCCCCTCTGCCCCAACTGCTAGAATTGATAAAGCATGCTTTTTTGATCTTGGAGGCTTTGTTCTTTCAATTTTAGGATGACAAGAAGCAACACCACCAGGCGTTGCTGTTTCAAAATTCTGAGAGCATACCACAACACTGTCAAAGCCGCTCTGCCCCAACTGACAGATTGAATACAGCATGCTTCTTGGGGTCCTTAAAGGCTTTGTTCCTTCAGGTCTAGGACGACAGGAAGCAACACTAGCAGGCATTGCCCTTTCAAAAATCAGCCAACACTAACATGCCACAAAACTGTCAAAACTGTTCTTCCCCAATTGCAGATTTGATACAGCACGTTTTGTTGATCTCGAGGGATTAGCTCTTTCAGGTTTAGGATGACAAGAAGCAACGCCAGCAGACACAGCTCTTTCAAAATTGCTAGCATAGCACGATACTGTCAAAACCCCCTCTGCCCCAACTGCTAAAATTGATAAAGCACGTTTTTTTGATCTTGGAGGCTTTGTTCTTTCAGGTTTAGGATGACAAGACGCAACACCACCAGGCGTTGCTGTTTTAAAATTCTGCCAGCATACCACAACACTGTCAAAGCCGCTCTGCCCCAACTGACGGATTGAATACAGCATGCTTCTTGGGATGGAACCTTAAGCCAAAGACTGCCCGACCCTGCAGCCTTAAGCCAGAGACTGCCCGGCCTGGAGCTTTAAGGTTGGGTGTTGGTGGTGGTTCAGGTAAAAGCCAGCCCGACCCCTTTACTACTCTTTCAAAATTCAGCGAGCATACCACAAAACTGTCAAACTGCTCTGCCCCAACTGCAAGCTTTGATCTCGAGGGCTCTGTTCTTTCAGGTTTAGGACGACAAGAAGCAACACCATTTTTCAAAACTCGAGCAGCATACCACAAAACTGTCAAAACCGCTCTCCCCCAACTGCGATGTTTGAATCAGCACGGCTTTTTGATCTCGAGGGCTTTGTTCTTTCAGGTTTAGGATGACAAGAACACAAGAAGACACTGCTCGGTCAAGCTCAGCCAGCATATCATAAAACTGTGCATACCCAAAACAGTCAAAAAACTCTGACCAAACCGCAAAGTTTGATACAGCACGTTTTTTTGATCTCGAGGGCTTTGTTCAGGTTTAGGATGACAAAAAGCAACACCAGCGGACACTACTCTTTCAAAACTCAGCGAGCATACTACAAAACTGTCAAAACCGGACAGTACGTTCTTACCACGACACAGTTTTCTGCACAATGACAAGCTTTACAACTGCAGCGACAAGGTTTTTTCTTACACTGACAAGGGTTTAGGGTTTAGCCTGACAAGGGTTTAGGGGTCAGTATGCTTGCCTCTTCCCGCTTCGACAAGCAAGCTTCAGCTTCGGGCTGGGGGGGGGGCTTGGGAGCTTTTGAGGCTTGAAAACGCCAAAACAGTGATTCCCCCGCATCCGTTGTGGGGGGGGGGGGGGCTGGGGCAAGCAGAAAATGCGGGGGAATCACCATTTTGGAGCTTTTGAGGCTTGAAAACGCCAAAACGGTGATTCCCCCGCATCCGTTTGTGGAGGGCTTGGTGGGCTGGGGGGCAAGCAGAACATGCGGGGGAATCACCGTTTTGGAGCTTTTGAGGCTTGAAAACGCCAAAACAGTGATTCCCCCGCATCCGTTGTGGGGGTTGGGGCTGGGGCAAGCAGAAAATGCGGGGGAATCACCGTTTTGGAGCTTTTGAGGCTTGAAAACGCCAAAACGGTGATTCCCCCGCATCCGTGGTGGGGGGCTCGGGCAAGCAGAAAATGCGGGGGAATCACCGTTTTGGAGCTTTTGAGGCTTGAAAACGCCAAAACGGTGATTCCCTGCATTGGGGGGGGCTGGGCTGGGCTGGGCTGGGCTGGGCTGGGGGGGGGAGGCTGGAAAACACCAAAACGGTGATTCCCCCGCATGGGAAAAAAAGGGGGGGCTGGGCTGGGCTGGGCTGGGGGGGGGGGGGCTGGGGCCGGCTGGGGCAAGCAGAAAATGCGGGGGAACCACCGTTTTGGAGCTTCTGAGGCTTGAAAATGAGGTTTGGGTTTCTCCTAACCATAGCGAGGTTTTCATTCCTTGTCGTGTTCAGGTTTCGTTCGCTGTCGTGGTAAGTTTTCTTTTCTGTCGTGGTGCCGAAAATTTCCTTGTCATGGTGTGAATCCTTTTTCTTGTCGTGGCAGCTACGCCCTCTCGTCAAAACCGCTCTGCCCCAACTGCAAGCTTTGACACAACGTGCTTTTTGATCTCGAGGGCTCTGTTCTTTCAGGTTTAGGATTTAGGATGACAGGAAGCAACAAATTCGGCCAGCATACCACAATATTGTCAAACCGCTCTGCCCCAGCTGCAAGCTTGGATACAACATGTTTTTTGATCTCGAGGGCTCTGTGAAACCAGCCAGCACACCACAAAACTGTCAAAAAAGCTCTGCCCCAACTGCAAGAGTTGATACAACACGTTCTTTTGATGGAGGGCTTGTTCTCTTGACATCCCCGCATGTCCGAATGAACCAGAGGGATTTCCCTCCGACCAACCCGCTTTGAGGAGCCGAGGGACGTCTTGCACACCAAGCTGTGCTGCATCATCTCAGCATTCTTTCAGCCCGGTGGTGTTTTTTTAACTGGAAGCGTTTGCCCGACATGCTCTGTGACTGTCAAGGTAAGTACGGTTGTTGGCCGGCTTCATGAAAAGTTGTCCACTGTTCGGTTGATGCCATGTTGTCCCACATGCACGACATGAAACACACAACATCAAGCAAGTTGCATTCGCTGCGACACCATTGACGCAAAACCTACTTCATTGCAGAATTTCCGATGCAATGGCTGCCCGGATTGACGTCAGCGATTCATGCATGTCTGCGTGGCCACATGAGCCGCATGCTTGCAGTCGTGTTTTGCCTTGCCTTGTGGTTCTGCGTGGGTGTCTTTGTTCAAACTAAGGTATGACCGAAGTCGCGGGGCAGAGCTTTGTAGCAACGTTCGGATTCCTCGAAAGTTTGAGGATGCCGAGGACAGCTGGTATGCACAAACTGGCCAGGGCAGGTTGCACCATGCAGTGTCGTTAATATTTGGTTGCATGCAGGTGGAAAACAAACATCGCGCTCGGGAGTTGCTAGATCGAGCACTTCAAAACAGGAGAGATCGAAAGCAACAGGAGGCCACTCAACAGTATCTGTTCAGCATTCAGACGCATTCAGTCGGGCAGGCGAGATTTCTCGCCTTTTATCAGAAGGAGGGTTCAACGTGTTAAGCCGGAGTGTGCAAAGTTTTCAAAGGCATGTGTGTGTGTGTGTGTGTGTGTGTGTTCCAATCCAGGCGTCAACATCGCCAACGCGTTCTGCTGGACCAGCTTTGCAACAAGTGTTTCACAAAGGACTTCACAGGGGGTATGATTTTTGATTTGTTTCGGCATAGAGAGGTGACATTTGCAAGGTGGCAGAGTTCACACCAGAATCACGAGAATGTATGCTGCCGGGGCAGGAACTCGCCGCAGATCCTGTTCCAGGCTTGTTGTTGGGGCTTGGTGCATTGACATGTCAATTCTATGCATTGCCTCGTTCCAGGAGAAACGTTCTGGAAGCGTCACGCGTTTTCTGCACGAGCTAGACATCATGTTGAGGTGGACAAGCTTTGTGCTATCTCTTGTCAGTTCGATTTCGAGAAGCACCGTCGAATGCCAGGATCCTCGGGAAAGCGTTCATGTGTCTGTGTCTTGGTTTATGTTGACATGAGCTTGGCAAAATGCTGCAAACGGGTTAGGTAGACCCAGGCTTTGGTACTATGGTAGGCAGGTCAGCGGCAGGCCATGGTACTTGAGTTGAAGAGTCGTGGTAGTTATGAGTGGTTGCTGTGCGAGCTTTGTTTGGAGTAGGTGCAGGTGAGTTAAGTGCTGACATGTGTTGCCAGCTGTGATGCGCCTTCCCAACCAATCACCTATACAGTCTGTAGGCAACTGTTACCGGTTCTTAGGTTCGCAAATCACAGCTTTATCGCGAGCTCGCTCGGCGAGCTCCGGCACATGTAGATGATTCGATCAGAGCCGTTCTTGGTGTCGCGGCAAGCACAGCACACCATGAATCGAGCAGGTTCACGTTGCATTGGAGTCTGCTTCAATACTTGATATGCAGGTGTGTCTCAGTTTGGGTGGGTTGGCTTGTGTGTTGACCCCCGGGTTGGATAAGTTTGACGTGCTTACGTCCCCAGCATGAGGTGATGAGGCAATGAGGGACGAGCCATCCGCACACCCTGCAAGATCGTGCCCCTGGCTAGTTTCAGCCAAGCTCTCACGTTCTTGGGGGATCTTGTTTGTGCATTGCTTGGACGCTGGCCCAAAGAATTTTTGCAAGCTTGATTTAGTTGGCGTAGGTGCTTGTTTTTGTCAGTAGCGGCTTGCAGAAGCCTGGGTCCTGCAGGTTCGTGGGCATCGAGAGCGAAGCCTTTGAGGCCATGAGCGCAGGGCAGGGATCCAATTCCAGTCCAGGTGTGCATTGCATGCAGCAGGTTAGCTATGACTTGAGGGAGCCTTATGTCATGGCTTACAACAGCGCATCGGCAGGCGCGGGTGTGACGAGTACAGTTCGTGAGCTTTTTGCAAGTGCTTTCCTGCACTCAGGCATCCAGCGCCAGGAAAAGTGGAGCTCGCACGGTGAGCTCGCCAGGAGCGTCAAGTTTCCAAAGGCCCATGCAAGCTGCTTTTGATGTCGGCCCCGTGTGAGACAGCGATTGCCTCCATTGAGTCCATTGGCAGGTCAGGGTTCGACATGGCCATGATGAGACGGAGCTCAAGATGGCGAATTCTGCAGAAATCCTGGACAACCTAGCAGGGGGTGGTGCAGGCAGCCGGCGTTCTTTGCGTTCTTCACATTCTGGCAACAGCATTTTCCAATTCCCTGTCGTAGGCATTGCCCACAAGATCTTGGATCTGAGGGAGCGAGGTGCCCCGTGGGACCACATCAGTCAGTTTGCTGCCATGGCCCAGGCCGTGGTTGACGTCTCTGCACTGTCTCTGCATATCCTTTGCACAGCTCCTCTGCGTGATTTTTCCCCCCTTCGGGTGTGACATCGAACAAACATGAACAAAGCTGCAGGCGGCCGCGTTTGAGATGCCCAAGGAGATGGCTCTCAAAGTGGTGGCGTGCCTTGCAGAGGCCGCAGCAAATGCCGAGGCCCAACCGTTTGCTCGTGGTTTCGAGGAGATCTGATACACTCTGTGAAGTGCTTTTCCAGCGTGCTGGAAGTCAACACGAATTTTACTGGCACTCCGTTAAATTACTCCGGCGTGCGAAATGATCTCGCGCCAGGAAGATGCGTCACCTCATGCGACCGACGGGCCAACGCAACATGCGCAGGCCTGTCGAACTGCAGATTGTGCAAGGTAGGATTCAGCAGGAGTTCCGTCACATACTGAAGCAGTGTGCAGGCTTCTGCGGCTTCTGAGCACCTTTGCAACTGTGCGATGTCCGTGCTGGCATCTGCCGCGGCAAGAGCTCGAGATGCTCACGGTCGGGCAGTCTTTTCAAGGGTTTGTAGACTTGTAGAAGTCTTGTAGAGTTCAGGGCAGTGTTAAGTATTTTCTGGCTTTGCCATTCTATGCGTGCAGATGTGGAGTTCCCTCTTTGTGGACTTGAAGTCATTGCAAAGACTGGCCTCGGGTGGGCAGCCTTCTCGAACATGTGACCTGGCCGAGCTTTGTTTTGCGATGCTAACGGTGGGTGCATGAGGGGGCGATTTGGTGCGAATTGTTGGCCTTCAGTGATTCTGGTCAGGTTCTTGGTCGCAATCTTTTCGCAGTTGCAGCGCTCTCATCAGGCAATTTGGATTACCCGGCTGTGCCCCGCCTTCCCGTTTCCTTGCAGCGAGGAGGCAAACCTGCAGATGTCCTGGGAAGCAGCAGACCGAGTCAGCAAGGCACATCTTTCCCAAGTCTCAGGTTCTGATGTTCTAAAGTCTTATGTAGGAGTTCGCAATCTTCTTTGGCATGTGGCACGCATTTCAGGTGTTTTGTTGGGCTGCGGACCGCCATGGAGACCTTGTGGGCAAATTGGCACCTGCAGGCAGTCGCGTCACCACACTTGGTACATCTTGAACTCCTGCATTCCTGTTGGCAGGTAGACGAGTTGCGAGGGCTGCACATCGGGCGCTGAGTGGAGACGTGCAGCAGAATGAGGATACAGGCATGCTAGCAAAGCTGGCTCTGCTTGAAAGCCTTGCCGCAAGACCATCCATTACATAGGTTCAAGATGAGCTTAAAGACGTAGAGTCATGATGATGCGAACTTTACTAGTCGGGAGTGGTGTGCAGTGAGGGTCGTTACATCTAGTGACCATCCAAGGGTCTGACCATGCCGGAGCGCTCTGGCAACCGATATCCTAGACGAAGCTCTCGCTTGCCTTAGGCAAGCAAAGCTTTCAACGGAGCCGTGTGTCCGATGTACAAGTTGCATGGTTGGCGTGTGCGAAAGCAAACCCTCAAGCATTTCAGCATCCGTTCTTGATTGTTTGCACGCGGATTCGGCCCAAGCGTCTGAAAGAATGGGATGAATAATCATGGAAAGGCGCCCGCATGGTCAAGTTAGGGTGCTAAGAGTTCTGTGTTCCCATTCCCTGGAAGGCCGCTGCCACAGTTGTCGCAGTCGCTCGTGGAGCCGAGCAACCATGGCAGTTTGTCATGGCTCCCGGCGAGGCACAAATTTCCTGTTCGTGGCTTCCAGGGTTTTGCTGCACATGCGAAATCGTTCTGCGCAGTGCTTGCGTTTTTTCGGCTTGCGTTTCTGGGCGGAGGCGGTGGTGCTCGGGCGCGCCGCTGACTGCGATCTGGCGTGGAACCTGTGTCCCAGATTTTCCTCGCGCGGTGCTGTGGAAGGCCGGCTTTCGAAGCCTTTGCGACCACTGAGGTTCTCCAGTCCCGAGGAGTGTCAGGACGACATGCAGTCCTACGGTACAGGCTGGTTGCACTGGTCCGGCAGAATTCTGACGTCTTGATTACTGCTGTTTGCTCTCAAGCCCTCAGGCAGGTCAATGAGGACACGCCGAGTTCTCAGCGTTGTTTGCGCATGTTTTCATCTTTGCAGTCTCTTTGCTGCGAGGTCAGAGATATGCCTCGAGGATACCTCGACGTAGCGTGCTCAGTAAAGTTTGAGCATATGGCACCAACAACCCAGATCCTCATCTGAGGAATGGCACTGGTGTGGCCTCTGGCACTGTTCGGTACTGAAGACTTTGCTCCTCGGCAGAGTCTGACCACGCAGTCTGAACATGTGTGCTGAGGAGTGGCAGCCAGTCCGCAAAGGAGAGAGCCGCGTCCTCACAGCGTTTGGCAATGCCAATGACTGTGTTCCTTTGCAATGTGTGGCAGTTGTTGAGAGCCTCGAGAGGAAGCGAATAAGAGTTGAATAATGACATGAGGTTTGTTGGTTAAAGTCGGCGCAGACATCTTTCCTTACTCCATGCAGCGGGGACGAGGGCATGATTCGGCATGCCGCAAGATCGAAACGCAGTGAAAATATGGCGGAGGGTTTGGTGGGCGGTTGCTGGGCATTTTTCATTGAAAAGGACTCAGACCACAAGTGAAGGCCACTTTGCAGGCCGTGAAAATGCACTCACTCATCTCAAAAATTCGGCAACGGCCAATGTCTATCTTCAGATGGTAGATACTGGTTTGCTTTAGTTGTGTGCTGCAGAAGAAATGCAATGGCTTGACCATGTTTAAAGATATGAGGCCCGCACGGGTACTAAGCCTCGTTAAAACAGACTCCGCGTTCTCGTTCAAGGGTTGAGCATCGAAAGTCAGAAAACCTGGTACTCACACAAGCTCAATCACGCTGTGCCAGACAACCTCCATTCTCATACTTGCTCATGCGCATTCTTTTGCCACGTTTTTTCCGCTGAGTGGTCCCAGGTCGTTTTGACACGTTTTGACCCTGGCCATCCCGCATTCACTTCAAGCCTTAGCGACCCTCTCCGGTGAGAAGGTGATGCGAGCTTTAAGTAATGCCCAGCCGATTCAGCAGGTGCCCAAGAACTGCCACTCGCAGGGCGAACGCCGCTGTTATAAAATTTTGCAAACGCTACGACCGGCGCTACGGGCCTCTGCCCCCACGGCTCCAATTTCTCCACGAGGAAGAGGTGGTGCACCACATTGTTCGGGTGGGTAGCGCATTCTTCGATGCCGAGACGCTCTCGGCGTGCATGTCAGTCTCGGCCGTTGATAAGGCAGAGTCTTGGGCAACTGCTCGCAGATCCTTCTGCCTTTCAACTGCAAGGCCAGCTGGCCCAAGTCCATGTACAGTCTCTTCTGCTGCATGGATGTAAGATTGAGTTGAGCTCTCATTGCGCTGTCTTGTGCAGTTCCACAGTCCGACAGTCAGTCAGTCAGTCTAGACAGCCTTGTACTATATTCATTCTTTGTTTTATATAAAAGTATCTATGCTATCAAACATACACATACGTATATGTTAGATATACATTATACGGTCCATAATTATACTGCGGCATGTCATATGATATTCTAGTAGATTGGCATTTTCGGTTATATTATGCATATAACATGAATGTGTGATGTCTTTAGTATATTACATCGAAGACATATAAATACAATATATATATGTTTCTATGTATATATGTGTATATGTATATATGTATATATGTACCTATGTATCTATGTATCTATGCACCTATGTATCTATGTATCTATGTATCTATGTATATATGTATATATGTATATATGTATATATGTATATATGTATATATGTATATATGTATATATGTATATATGTATATATGTATATATGTATATATGTATATATGTATATATATATATATGTATGTATGTACATATGTATATACTTATGTATATATATATATATGTGTATATGTATATGTATATATGCATTATATATATACATATACACGTGAGCCTGAAGCCTTTAATTAGTTTATTTGGCATTGAGCTTTTCTTCTCGTTTAAAAAAATGTAACGAAACTTAATATATAAGTGTACATTTTTGCTTATATAGGAACCATGAGTTCTAATGTCAATCTCGTGTTGGCTTTGGAGTAAACTTCGCTTTGTGTAGGCTTCCGAGTCAACGTCGCTGTGTTTGTGGATGCAATTACTACTGAGGTTCGTGTCTTATACAAATCGCACGTCCAACCTATATAGCCTTTAAACAGCAACACAACGATCAACCCTCCACGCCTGTGTTCTACAGCTTTCATTGTTTTCATCTGCGGTTTGTTCACTCATTAGTACTAGTGATATTCACAATGTTGAGGCGATGGTAATAGCATGATCACTGGTAGTATTGGAAGCACTACGTGTTACCAGTACTGCAACGTGCCAACACTTGGCAATATGATTTTTGTGAGGAATATAGGTAATGTTGGCAATATTAGTACTATTCCTGGCGCGAGCAAACTTCGTGGCTCTTTTAATATAAGCAAAAGCATGATGTATGGTTGCTGCGAGTATTACTTAGGGTACGAATATGTTAGCACATCTAGCGTTGCTAATGCAATGCCCCCAATTCGACCAACGTGAGGGTTCAAGCGAATGTTCGTCGGTTCTGGTTATGTTTGAAATGATTCGTCCTAAGACAAATTAGGGTCGACAACTCCGTTCTTTTGATGAATGCAGCTATGATATTTGCCTATGTTGTGGGATCCAAAGGGTGGCTGGGTACATTTTCGATACCAAAGTCACGAGTTTGACTAGTGAATGCTCGGACTTGAGATGCTGAGCCTTAAACCCAAAACCCCAAAACCTAAAACCCTAAAAACCCTAAACCCTAAACTGCCGAGCGCTCTGCTGTCTATTTGCATGGGCGCTCGAGGCTTCGACCGAGGCCGCCGGCCGAGCGTCTCCACAGAACGGTCAGGGAGGGTAAAGCCTCCCGTGACTGGCCACGCTTCAGACTGGGGCGTAAGCCGTGTTTAAATGAGGTCCCCAAACCCCGTCATTTTGGTTTGGCTGTTTACCTGACAACACCAACGCCGGTGGGGGCCCGTTGAGCCACCCTCCAGCTTCGTGAGACGCCCCAAAAGAGGGGCATCCAGGATTGCCTTGACCCACAATGAAAATGCAGCTTTTCAAAAAAATTGAAATCGACGGGAAAGCCTCAGGAAGCCACGAGCCACCAACAGGCTCAAGAAGGCCACAGGAAACCCCTGAAGCCCCCCTGCAGTAGGGGCACTCTTCCTTAGAGTTCGGAAGGAAGCCCCTTGAGGAGGGTTTGGGGGGGTGAACCCTAAACCTTAAATGAGAAAAATTTGGGTGGTTGGGGTGGGACTACATGCTAACGCGAGCGAGCAGCCTGGGTTCTTTTAGCACCAGCGAGCTTCCCTTCTACTCACCCTAAACCCTAAACCCTAAACCCCAAACCCTAAACCCTAAACCCCAAACCCCAAACCCTAAACCCTAAACCCTAAACCCTAAACCCTAAACCCTAAACCCCAAACCCCAAACCCCAAACCCTAAACCCTAAACCCTAAGCCCTAAACCCTAAACCCTAAACCCTAGACCCCATACCCTTAGCCCTAAAGCCTAAACCCTAAACCCTACCCTAAACTTCGAGGTTTATTTTGAACCTGTATTCTTTGTTTCGGCAGCCGGGCGATTAAGATTATGCAACATTCTACTAAAACTCCTGTTTACATAATACAAGAAAATATGATGTTATGTAGCATAATGTACTATATCTCAAGAGAATATAGTATCACATCTTAGAAGACAACAAATCTAATATATAATATCATATCATGCAATATAGTATCTTACCATGCCATGTACGTATTGCATCTTAAAGAAGAGTATATAATACTCATATGTTATTGTACCATTGTATCAGTATTTTGTTATACTGTTATATTAGTGTTTATTATATCAGTGTGTTGTTATATTGTTATATTAGTCTTTTCGTCTGTTGTTATTTTATTTTATAGCATAGTTATTTACTAGAATATAAAGAAACACGATATTACTATGTTTTTAGATGATTAAAGTATGTGTTATTATATTTTGTCATCTTGTTGTTGTAACATCATTACATGATTTATAGTAATATCAAAAATATCATATTATTATAACATAATGATATAAGAATACAAAAATATAGTATTATAATGACCGCATGACATGACAAAAAAAAGTAAAAATGTGTTCATACAATAATGTGATAAAGAATATTATTCTACAGTAATGATATAGAAATAGAAATTGCAGAATACCATAATACAATCATGTAATAATATAATTAACTTCTTGGTAGAATACCAAACTAGGAAAATATATTCATAATAGAATATATTGATATATTGATATAATGATATAGTCATTATAGAATATACTGATAGTAATATAGTGATACAATCATACAGTCAGTTACAGTCATATCTTAGTATTAAAGTTTAAGAGTATAGTATTGTAGTAATATTACCATATACAATATAAAATGTTTCAATACAATAGTATAATGAAAAAGTAATATGATGATATATTAAAGCAATTACATATGAATATCATAATCATTGTAATAATCTAATAGCATAATCATAATATAATCATATATTGACATATTATTAGAAGTATTAATATAGAATTATATAGTATAATGTAATATAACATAAAATTGCTTAAACAAATACATGGATTATATATATATGTATATATATATATACCTATATCTACATGTATTCACAAAATGTTCTAGGGTGCCCCCGGTCTAAAGCCCCCGTGCTCTTTCTGTCTGGGCCTGTGCTAAGTTTCCGGAGGTCCACGACCAAGCAGTGGTTCTTACGATATCCAACTACGGAGGGGGGCTTCCGGATGGGTCAGCAACTGAGACGTGACAAAAGGCGAAGTGCAGAGGTTCAGATGGAAAATCATGCAAGAAAGCTCACTGTATAGGTACGATTCTAGACACAAGACCGGACGGTGGCCGCAGTGCTCAGTTGCTTCCGATGCTTGTCTGTGCATGTCGTTGTTGAGCTTGTTTTCAGAGGCTGTAGAGTTCGTTCTTTGCCAATGGCCAGGAGATATCGTGGCAAGCTGGGAGAAGGTGCGCTGGGCGTTGTGCGGGTCCCACGAAGTTTGTCTGCTCTGGCCGGTGTTCGTTTTGCCTTGTTTGATGTCATGCTAGGCACTAGATGCCTAGAGTTCGGCATATCAGCTTTTTTTTTTTCTTGTTTCTGCACGCTGCAACATCGTGTCCTTGTTGCTTCTGCGGATGCCGAGGTGCACCAGGCTATTGATGTAACTGGTAAGCTGAAGGGGGATGTGGCCATCAAGGCGACAGCGATTGAGTTGTAGTGTTCCAGCCTGCACTGCTCCGATTGAGCAGTTCTGTGGGAAGGTCTGCAAAGTCACCAAAGGTGCCAAGCCGACTGCTAAGGCATGGTCATAAGATTTGTGCTGTGTTTGCGACGATAGCAGTCTTGCTTCTGGGTGATCGTTGCCGATTCGGGTTTCGTCCCTGCTTCAGCTTCGAAGTGCCTTCATCCTGCACCGGGAAGCGCAGTGGTCCCTGCAAAGGCCTACCTTGCAGATACAGACAGCCGGTAAGGCGAAAGTAGGCAAGACATAGCTCCACCATCTGTGGCAGGCTCCACAACACAAACTACCAAGGGTTTTCGGAGAAGAAGGCGGGAACCGCATCGTCTTCAGAGCCTTCAGAGCCTTCCAAGTGCTGTTGTAGGTTGCACATTACGTCGCACTCCGTCGCAATCGTTGGCTCAATGACTTTTGGTGGTGCCACCCTTTTCCTCGCCCGGCACAAAAAGCACTTGACCTCTTGATCAGGGCCACTTTTTGGCTCATACTTCGGCTCGTGCTAGAGTGGCAGAGTGTACAATAGCCTTTTGGACTGACTTGGGAAAGAGAGCAAAAATGGCAGGCGACCTTCTTCGCTCGATACCTGGAGGCAAAAACAGTTGCAAGAGACGCATGGCTAAGCATGGTAACTGCATTCGGCAGGACCATACAGGTCGATGGAGCCGAGATCTGGATTTCGACACGGTGAGAACCTGATGGGCTCCGACGTAGCTGATATTGGCAGCTCTAGTCTACAAAGCGGCTACAGGTTCAATCAAGCTCACATTTTCTGATTCCTAAGGAGCGTGCGACTTTTGAGTCTGCGGACTTTCGATGGGAAAAGTTCAGGCTGGGGGATCTTGAAGCATGGCAAAATGTGGTGAGCAGGGCTTGCTATAGTCGAAGCGCCTAGTGCCTCCTACTCGAGAACAGTTTTGAAACGAGTTCGGACAGCTGTCCTTCAGCGGGCTTCCGGCCTGTGCCATGTCCTATCAATAGCAGAACACGTGTCCTGCCAAAGCAGGTGTAGAAATGCCCTGCACGACTCTGCACGCCACTCTTCCTCAGACTCAACGTCGCTCAGTCAAGCTCCTAGGTGTGGCAGGCACGTGGGGTGGCGGGGTGGCAAGTCTGTTTTGTAGGGCTCGGAAGAGGAGCTGGGGGCGTGAGGAGCGGAGGAGGAAGAGCAAGAGGAAGAGGAAGAATTCCGTGCCGGGCACGTCGCTTCTGGGTCTACCGCTCCAGGGAGTCCGGTGGTTCCTTTAGAAGAAGGTCAAGCCAGAGGCGCCCAGCAGGTTGCAGAGGTGCGAGGGGAATGTCCAGAGCCTTCCGAACATTCGATTTCCGAGTTCATCTATATCCTCCAAAGTTTGAAAAATAGTCGTTGCATGAAGAGGGCAAGTTACAGGCAGGTGTCGATCTGCGCTAGGCCTCCGGAGTCATTGCCTCCACATCCCTACGTGGCCATGGAGTTCGTCCCTGGCAGAACACTTCATGCTGCTCGTGCCCCAGGCTTTGGAAGCTACTGTAAGCGGAGAGTATTCGACCTGGTAAGTTTAAGGGTCACTTCCAACAAGAGCAACAAGAAAATGACAGAAATAGTTCTTTACTACTATAGCTATAGTTATAATCGTAATTAAGATTATGGTTATCATTATAAATACAATTCTACTTAGAATCATCATTACAAGTATAACTATAATTATGATTATACATTTATTTGTAATTATTATAAGTATAATGAGAATGAAAATCATCGTGATAATTATAATGATAATTGTAATAACAATGATAATGATCGTTATAAGCATTATTATGGTGAAAAATTATATTTATAGTGGTATATTATAATGACATATTTATTATTATTATTATTGTTACTATTGTTTTTGTTTATTATGGTTATGATTATGATTATTGTGATTATGATTATGATTATGATGATCAGTATGATTATGCTGATTATGGTGATTATGATGACTATGTGATTCTGATGAATGTGATGATTATGATGATTATGACGATTATGATGATTATGATGATTATGATGATTATGATGATTATGATGATTATGATGATTCTGATGATTATGAACATGATGCTTATTATTAGCATGAGTACTAGTACTACTACTATTATTATGAATATTCTGATTATGTTTTTGATTATTGTTATTGTGGTTATTGTTATTGTGATTGTTATTGTTATTGTTATGTTGTTGTTGTTGTTGTTGTTGTTGTTGTTGTTGTTGTTGTTGTTGTTGTTGTTGTTGTTGTTGTTGTTGTTGTTGTTGTTGTTCTTGTTCTTGTTCTTGTTCTTGTTCTTGTTCTTGTTCTTGTTCTTGTTATTGTTATTGTTATTGCTATTGTTATTGTTATTGTTATTGTTGTTGTTATTGCTACTGTTGTTATTACTATTATTACTACTATTATTATTATTATTTGTATGAGTATCTGTCTTTGTATTATGCAGGCAGCTTCAGATCATGTACGCAGCTTGGTTTGACAGCTGTTCGGGCCAAAGACTGGGGTTTCGATGGATTTTGGCTGCCGGGCTCGTTCAATGTCATCCAAGTGCAGAAAGCCCACTGCAGATCGCGGCAGCATGATGGATTCACGTGGGGCCATCCGCAACAGCCTATGTTGCCAAGCATTTGCCTGCCTTGGAATGGGCCAGCACAGAACACGACTGCTCAACTTGAGAAAGCCTGGCAGCAGCTGTAGGGAACTTCCAAGGATAAACCTCAAATCTTTCAAGTGCAACTGCTGCTGCTTGCATGAAATTCAAAACTAAAGAGGAAAATGGTCCTCTGCCCAGCACGGTCCAAAGCTGTCCTCTCTGTTTCGTGCACACCATACATGCCATGTTTCAACAAACTGGCACTGGTCACACGAGTCACATGCCCTTTTGCGCTGCCCTGAGTGGGCTGACTTCACATGTTCTTCCGAAGTGCTGTTCCTGAATGAGTTGTCCCGGTCGCCCATGAGTCTTTGGGCTGGTCCTGTAGCTTGGATCTGTTGAGGCCGACACAGGTTCAAAGCATTGGGGTTGCCCACTTCCGTGAGCAGTCCTTTGAACTTCCAACATCTTCCGACATTTGGGGTCGGTCCTATCAGCTTCTCTCATCCCCGTGGTCTACATGGTCTACACTAGCACTACATGTCTGCAAAAGACCGACCATCCGATGTAAAGTGACGAAGTTTTGAACAATTATCAGAAGGTTGCTCTATGTAGGAGAGTTACATTAGAACGCAAGGTGGGATCACTCTGTTAAATCTGCCCGTGACCCTGTTACAGCATATCTGATTGCTTTCGTTCGCAAGTGCTTCTGAATATGCCCTGAGTGCTCGGAGTCTTTTTGAGAGATCTATCGTCAGAGCAAACTACCGAGGCTTTGGGCTGGAGCCGAGATCAGCCAGTTCGCAGGGAAGCACTCCTCAGCCAAGAGGACGCGTTTTTTTTTCGAAATGCTCCTTGTTTGTCATCCAGTTTTTCGCGTGTTCTTCGTATTTTACTGTGTAGATGTTTCAATTGAGTGTTCTTGGAAGTGCGGGCTTCTTTGATTTCTAGGTTGTCTTTTGTTGGTTTCGGTTCTGTAGGGTTGGTTGCTGCTTGAGGCCCGGATGTCCGGACGTGTTGTCACTTGCCATATAAGCAGTTTGTTATATAGACAAAACATGCTGTGATGAGTGCTCATGTTCGCTTTACAGCATCAATATGTGATGCTGCCAGATCATTGCAAGAAGGTCTTAGACCGCGAAGGCTACCACGCGCCGTTGATTTAGCTGATATCGTGAATCTTTGATCAGCAGTCGCTGCTTTCTGTGTTGCTGGTTGAAGTACCAAGCTTCTCACTTGTGTAGTGTATATATACTGACCGAAGACGGTTGTTCGAGGTCCCTATCTCTCTCTCTCTCTCACCTGGAAACGTTGGGGATGTGGCACGGGAAGCTGTAATGGCCTGGGCTCGTGCAGGAGAAAGAGCTCGTGGTTCGCCAAGCCGCGGAGGCGTGCACGCACGTGTGTACGACTTTGTGAAGCATCGGTCTTCAGAGGCTGAGCTTGGCTCAGCTTGCCACTTTCGGTGATCAGGCATTGGTGTACCTGGTAGAGATGGGACTAATACATCGCGATTTCCGCTCCTAGGCTGAAATGGTGAAGCTCGCTGTGTCTACTTCAGAAGAATGATCCTGTGCTAGGTACCACAAACCTGATGGTCTCAGAAAGGAAGGCTGCGAGCGACAGGCTTACAAACATAGCAAGGCTGATGAGAGATGTGCGCGATTGTGTGAGCATGCCTATCCCATTGCTTGGCGTGACTGAGTTCGCATCCACGTGATTGATCTGGGGCATACGATCTTGGCAGAGCGAACTTCTCAGAGAGTGCATCCCACGTAGATTCGATGACTGCGTCCCATGACCAACCCCCTGTTCTCTGGAGGTCTCGCCAGTGCCGCAACAAGAGTGCCGTGGTCAGGCTCAACACCAGGGCTTGCGTAGTTTCGCAGGTATTTTCATCACATATTTATTTGTGTGTTGCAGTATGAGGATGTGGTTAAGCAGCACAGCATGGCTTCGAAAGGTGAAAGCAATTGCTGGAAAAGGGTGCGTGTTGAGTGATCGTCAGTACAATTGCTCAGATTGTTGCGAGTTGTGAGACTTCTGGCTCAGCGGTTGGAGGCAAGCTACTGTATTTGAGTACGGAAGGGGCTTTGCCAGAGTTTTACGGCATTCAAAACCGCGCAAGAGGAATGAGGTGCAAGCAGCGGTCCAAGACGAAAAGGCTTAGAGAATCATCGTGTCTTAGTCTTTCACTCGTAGCCGTTGTAGTCTTAGTCTTCGGACAGATCTTGACGAGAGGTGCAATTGGAAAGAGGAGGAAAAGAAGCGCTTCGACTGGGCTCCGCCGGAGGTCAAGGTGGGCTCCAATTTCTTTGAGCGCAATCTGTGCAATATGGCAATGTCTCCGAGAGGCAAAGGAGAACTTCGTCAACTTTGCATACCCAGCACATTCATTTGATGTGGCCGGCTGAGACTGGCATTTTCTTGCAGTTCTCCGTTGGATCAGATTGCAGGCAGCAGGGATGCACACCTTTCTTGATCGCACGTGGTATGTTCAGCTCCGCACGCTCCGCACGGGCTCTCAAAGGGAACGCTTTCCGGGACAGCTTCCGAGTTCCCACTCACAGGGCCTTCGAAACAAATCCAGAGTAGGGAGCACATACTACAAGTGGTCCAACCCGAGGCCATCACGTACAATAGCCAAGACATCTTGCCACGTTCACAGACAGCAACTCAGTTTTTTCGGGTAAGTTCTTCGAGCACCCTCAACAGATCGAAACGGTCGCGCTTTAACAAAGCTTTCTCTACACCGTGGAGGTACAGCAGGGGCAGCCCGAAGGCCAGGTCAGGTGCACACAGGGATGGGCTGAGCAGTTTGAGCAGTGCACCAGGAACAGTGGCTGTTTAAGCCCTCACAGCTACCTGCCAATTCCTAGCTTCGTGCATATCTTGAAAATCACTGAGCTGTAGACCGAGCTTTGGGAGAAAGCACAGCAGAGTGATGAAGCAACGGCCGTGCACTGTTTCAACTGCTTTCACATGCCTTGCCATGCATTTGCTTTGTGTTCTGCCCCGCCATCTTCCTATCGGCCAGCAAGAAGAAAGAAAACAATCTACCCACCCCCCAAAAAATGCGCTTAGGCCTCGCTTCCCCGCGACGCATGGTTTTGCAATATTGCGTAGCCTTGCGCCTGCAGAGGCTTCGACCATACAGAGAGCAACGTCAGCGGTAAAACAGGAATATTCAACATAAGCAAATACCAATGGGTTCGTTAAGCTTCATCATTACAGGGACGTACTTGCTGTCGGTTATGTCAGTCACTGAAATTTCGTTCTGGATTTTCCATAGGCTTGTGGCACATGAAAAAGCGCCGACCGCTCCAGCATGACATCAACGTCTTTGGAAGGGCCAAAGAGGGAGCCCCTGAACGAAAGCATGTGACCCTGTTCGTGTATGTGCAGCACGGCTTTTGCATCACTTTTGCTGCCGACTAACGTTGGTGGTGAAAGACGGCGTGGCGCGTGCGTCGCGCATACCAGCGTTACGTGCGGTGAGCGACTTAGATCGAAATAATTGTTACGGTGTTCCAAATCGCATTCCCACCTCTGCACCAAGTGCATGCTGCTCGCAAAGTTGACTCTTTCGGTACCTGTTTGGGTGAAGGCGCCATCGGGACAGAACCCGATCCCGTCTGCTTTGTGGCGTTCACGATTTCGCTCAAGGCGTTTCCTGTAGATCTGTGATCCTTTGGAGCCTTCGGGAATGTACAGCACGGGGAACAAGTTCTGCAAGCACGGCACGCGCGTTCATCACCGCGGCATTCTGCAGTTGACAGCTGTTGCAGCAAGAGTGCTTTGGATTTAGATGTTGACATCTTCCAAGGTCTTTTCGTTTGGTGTGCTGGCTGTCCAGCTGCAGGCTTCTGGCATGCAGGTCCCACGTCAGCAGGTGGAAGGATGTGTGTTGCACATTTTTTCGCCCGAAAACGGTGCAGGCAGCGCGACTGACAGTCAGTCGGCTCATGGATGTGAAGGATGTGGTGTGCAGTAAGTTGTGCGCAGTCCAGACGTGTGAGCTGGCAGTCAGCTCACCCCCTATCTTGTTCCTTCCTTGTTCATGAAAGACCCGGCGACTTCCAGCACATGGAAATCACGGCCATGGCTCTCGTGTTTTAGAGCTTGTTTCGGGGTCGTCTTCATGAGGAGGGTGACAATGGCGAGTCCATTCCTGGAGCTCTTGGCCTTAGCCAGGCCGGGGCTGTGTGGCTGTGGGCGTTCCCAGCTTTGGCTGTTCTGTGACGCTGTGTACGCGTTGTGTACCTGAGTATTCTTGGAGGATATCCTGCGGCGCATGCTCGGCGAACCATTCGACCGTCCAAGCAATGCCGGCACTCTTCAACAGTCACATGGTGAGACAAGCCATTGACTCCAGCATTCTGCGGATGCGCAGTTGAGCTTACCTTTGCCAGATGCCGAGCAGATCGTGAAGCATCTGCGCTGCAAAGCGCCAGAGTTGGACGTGGTGAAGTGCATGTCTAAGAATGTCCAAGCTGCAGAGTGGCAGGTTCCCACAGTGCTGGAGCGTAGGGGTGTGTGAAATGGATGGAAGAGTGCGGAGCAACTACTCACCGCTCAACTGAGGCCTGCCCCACAGCCGGTGAATGGCCGGAACCCCGGGCTTGAAGTCTTGAGAGCTGAATTTCGTCAAAAAGTTACAAAGAGTTTAGAAGAATTCAACTTTCGGCTTGTCGTTTGGAATGCTAAATTGAATTTTTCTACCGAACTTTGTCACTTTCGACATGCCACTGTTGAAGCCAAGCGCTCAGAGGCTCCCGTCACGATGCTCACGTCTTGCCCTTGGACTACAGTGCATGCCATGTTGTGTGACATGTGTGTTTGTACATGCTTTGGACGTCGTCACCTGATCTGTCGCGTTTTATCGCTTTAAAAAGCGGCTAGGCAGAAGTGACCTTGGCGCAAAAGAAGGACTGCGAGTGCAAGATGCCAGAGAGGCATAGAGAGTTTCAGCATCAGCTGCAGGAGACTCCAAGCCTCGACAACAGCGAAGCCCAGGAGAACCAGCAGTCTAAGGAAGTGGGGGCAGAGAAGGCTCGCGGTGCGGATTCTCTTCTTTGACTTGACAGGTTGGTACAGCAGACTCTCAAAGTACGGTTTCCCAATGTGTAACTTAGAAGGTCCCTGCTCTCTGCGAGGCAAGGAGGCAACAAGGAGGTGTTGTTGACGAACCGGACATCGAGGTTGCGCTTGTGGTGCTTTGCATGTTTCCAGTCTTCATGTTCAATTTACCTGCGTTGCCATTTGTCGGTTTGGTGTGAGGAAGTTGTCGAGGGCGAAATGGCGGATGACAACGACTCCAATTCATCCCCAGAAGGCAAGAGGCAGACGCAGGACAAGGCAAAGCCGCAAGCCCAACCCAAGCCATCACATGAGCAGAAGGCATCTGAGTGCGAGCCGCACAAAAATAGCAAGCGACAGCCGGAGCAGGATTCCGACGAACCTCCGAAAAAGCGCCGAGACAGAAAGAGCAAAGATGCCCCGATGACCGAGATTCTATCAGCCAGCGACATGCCAAAGCAGGCATCACCCCCAAGCAACGAGGCTGAGAAAGCCGCGAAAGCGGAGAAGCATGAGAAGCACGAGAAGCACGAGAAGCACGAGAAGCACGAGAAGCATGAGAAGCGACATGCGAATCCTGTCGGAACTGGCGCAGATGCACCAGCGGCTGAGTCTGGGGCTGCAGCTGCGCATGGACCGAAACGACAACACGATGCAGTCTCATCGGCCACCCAGCAATCCCCACAGTCACCAGATGCAAAAAGAAGAAAGCAGGAGAGTACCGAGCAGGACAAGAAGGCCGCAGAGCTTGCGGCGAAGGCCCAAGATCTTCGGGACGCAAGAAGGGAAAGGATTCAAGAGCGAATTCTGTTGAAGCAGCTGGAGAGACACACCAAGGAGAACGCGTCCCCTGATGACAAGCGTGACAAGATGCGACAGCAGAGCAAAGAAAGCAAGGAAGGCAAAGAAAGCAAGAAAGGCAAAGAAGCCACAAGGGAGCGGCTCGGGCAGCACGGAGAGCTCGGAGAGACTCCGCGAGAGCAGCTTAAGGGTTCTCAACGAGCACACACGGCGGAGCCACGGCGCATCGCCTTTGAAGTCAAGAGCCACCAGGAAGCCAAGGAAGCCAAGGAAGCCAAGGAAGCCAAGGAAGCCAAGGAAGCCAAGGAAGCCAAGGAAGCCAAGGAAGCCAAGAAGACGGAAGGCACAGAACGCGGTACTCCAGTCACTCCAGTGACTGGTGCTGCGGCGACATCCAGCCTGAAGACGATTCCTCAGCCTGCCTCGGAGCCGACTTCCACGCCAGCCATCGAAGCTGCTCAGGCTGTGTCGACTGACTTGGAGTGGAGAGAGTTCGCTAAATTTAGGGTTGCAGCACTCCTTTGACTGATGGCAGGTTCCTGTTCAAGAATCGAATCAAGAGATCGAAAAAACTTGGCACACTTCTCGATTTGTGTGTGTCATCCTTGCACAGGGGCCATGCTAATCTTCTTTCTGTAACGGGCCAATTTTGTCGGATGGTCCCCGAAGAAGAGATTCCGATTTTGCTCGAAGGTTTAGGCGGTTCGGGGATGCAGTTTTCACGTTCTGAGGTTCGTTGATTGCAGTGATTGCATCTGCGAAGCATCCCGCGAAACCGTTCTAGAGCATGTGTGGGGGAGTGTGGGAGCATCTGGGAGCATCTAATGGTTGAATGTTTAAGGACTTCGGGGTTTTCCTGAACTGACGCGAGATGTGCATGTGACCACGATGTCAGCGCTTTTTGGTGCTTTGGGGTCAAACGGGACTTGAATGTGCTCTGCGCTTGCTTGGGCTTTGGGGAGATTGTGGGAACATTGCGCTTTGTTTTGCAACTTGTTCCTGACCCCCCTTCCCTCCCCCTCGGCTTCCTTGTACAGACTGCGGTCGAAGCCAGCTCTTCGGCAGTTCTTGATATTCTTCAATGAAGGAGTCGTTTAACTGTCTGAGGCCAGCAGAAGGTGTTTTGGGTCAGGCTTGCATAATGTCGTTGGGAGGGATGCCCCGCTGCAGCGTTCGCATGCTTTTGAGAGAGGGTTGCAAGGAGGCGGATGAGCCCAGGGCCTAGTGGCTGTTGATTCCAACGACACTATGTCATGAGATGTCATGAGGTCGTGTTCCAATATGTTCCAGAGATTCTGTGTGCAAGATGTATCCAGGGTGAGTGAACGCTGTGAATCGTGGCTTGTCCTTTGATTGCTTTGCTGCTGCCTTCAGGAGCCTTCAGTTCAAAAGTCGATGCCCGAGGACACAGCAGCCAAGAACATGGCAAGTGTGAACACGGACACAAAGAGCCAAGTGTCGGAAAATCATCAACAGCTTCAATCACAGATGACGGCGTTGACAGCGATGTATGCCTTGATGCAGCAGCAGATCAGTGTCTTGGACAACACTCAGGCTTCAAACCCCTATGCCCTTGCTTTACAAGCGCAAGCTGCGCAAGCAACGCAGGCTGCGGAAGCAACGCAGGCTGCGGAAGCAACGCAGGCTGCGCAGACCACGCAATCACAGCCTTCCTTCGGTCACACTGATGTCGATCTCCAGAGCTGGGGCCAGACTGCGACAGGTATTCCTGCCGCTCTGAACCCGTTATTACTGCAGACGGCTCCGCACCAAGCCATCGCAACACCAGCGCAACCGCAAGAGTCACAAGACCCACACCACCTACAGCACCTGCAACAGCTACAACACCTCCAACACCTTCAACTGCAAGCCCTTGCCTCATCACCACCAGTTCCGATAGCTTCACCGGTTGCGCCCAGACCACATGCGAGCCCAGTGCCCCCCAAGGCCCCACAAGTAGTCCTGCCAAAGCAAGGATTCATTGCAGCAAGGCCCCCAGCGCCGGCGGCGGCGCCGGTGCCATCAGTGCCATCGGATTCCAAAGCAGCCCTGCTAGCACAAATCCCGTGCAAATCCGGAGCAGCAAGAGCAGCTATGCTGGCGCAGATACCCTGCAAAAGTAGAGGTCCATTTGCGCCCACATACTAGGCATCCAGCCATTCCCTCCCAATGGCAAGGTTCAGGGCTCAGAAATGCGCTTGAAAAGCTCGGAAAATTTCGACGTATTCTGTTTGGGGGGGCCTCTTTGCTTCTGCTCCAATGGTCCAAGCCCAGGAGCTCTGTGCTGACGCGGCCTGAACATGGCCGCGAAGGAAGACCGACTTCCGCCCGCGACAAAAAACAGATCTCCTTGGCTTGTGCTGTGGCTGAGCTTTGGGCGTGTTAGTGTTGTGTTCGTGTTCGTGTTGTGCTAAGTTCTACCTATAGTTCATGCTCTCTCACATCCATTTCCACCGTTTCGCGCTGCCGTTCTCAGCTTATGTGGGTACCGATGGCTCGTCCGGCCTTTGGCACCTGAGATGGGATGTGGGGCAAGCCATAAGTACGAGGCGCGAGTAGTTTTTTTCTCCACACTTTCTCGAGGTTCCACATTCTGTACATTCTGTACATTTTGTGAAGTTTGGGCAGGTAAGTACTTTGTCTGGCATAGAGGAGGAGAAGCCCAAACGAGAAGGTCTGCAGGATCCCAAGCTGGACAACACCTTCGACGCGAAGAGTTTTTTTGGCAATGTTTCACATGTGACGATTGCATTTCGGGTTGCAGCCAGAAAGAACAGGTCAGAGAGCAGCAAGTCTGTGGGCAGTGATTATCATCCGCAAGGCCGTTTCAGCTAGGTGATTCGCCTAAGCTTGGCACTGCTCGTACTGTCAGGAAGCGCTGATGACAAGCAAAGGCCTCAAGGGAAGCCGTTGCAAATGCAGAAATCATCTCCAGCTGTGCGCTGCGTCTGTGCCAATGAAGCATGAATCAGTCAGGCCTGCGAAGTATCGGCCGGATCCCGATGTGGATGGAGTCGAGGTTACTTCAGTTGAAGGCAGCCAACATTGACTTTGACATGCGGGGTTTAGTGCGAAAGCCCTACCCTGCACCGTAGAACCTGACGTGCCCGCCACCAGGTGACTCTGAACCCCAAAGCGACTCTGAAGCCCGAAACCCAAAACCCCACCGCACCACCACACCACGGGGTAGGGGGGGGACGGGGGGGGCGGCGGAGCCTTAACCCTAAAGGAAGGGAAGCGGCGGGGCGGGGGGGGGAGAACATGTGGGGTTGGGGGGGGGGGGGGTGCCAACCCAGGAACATACATGCACCAGGTGGAGGGTCCCGGCCCTGAGCCCGAAGAAGAAAAGACGAAGAAGCAGAGCACTGAAAAATTGTGGTTGTCCGGAAGAGCGACCTGTTTTTGCTCCAATGGCCTCAGTTGCCCACTTGGCAGTCTGCCTCACATGTCCCGCCTCCACACAACTTACTTGCTTGCCCTGGACCATTAATAACGTACTGCGAGAGAGACTTCCGACGATAAAACTCAATGTTTGTGTTGTTTGCAATTGTTTGCATTTGTGCAGGGGTCACCTGAGGCAGGACAATGCTCATTCAAGCATGCTTACACTCCCATCGAAACGGACAATTATTGTTCCATGCTTCAGGGGATTTTGGCCCCTTGGGAGTGCGCGACCAGTGGCGGACTTCGGCCCGATTCCCTCATTCGAACAAGAACGAGGAAGAAGTGGGTGAAGAAAGAACGGGAGATAGCGGGATGTTGCAAGCAGTCTGCAAAGGTACATGAAGATCACAGGCAGTGGAAGGGTGACCGTTGGGTGGTTTGCCGTTGGCTCCTGATGCATGCCACGAAGTTGCCAAGCGAGGAGTGTCACGCAGCCTTGCTCAGGGGAGAAGGGGAGGGGTCTGCAAGGCCCTTCAGAACACAAAAAGCACAAGAATATTGCAACAGTGAAAAGAAGATCGAGAGCCGTGAAAGCAGAGCAGGTGACAACGAGCTTGCGAAAGCAGTTGCGGCGGCAAATGATGAAAGCATTGGTCCCAGAACGACATGAGCTGACTGACTGACTGATCAGCGCATGTGCTCCGCTTTTGTTCGTTGCTGATCCCAGAACTCCTCATGAAGTATGCGCAGTCCTCTGCTGAAGGCATCCTTGATGTTTGCGACTTTGCGTTGGGGCGCTTGAATCAATCGCTGTTTTTCCTCTTCTACCAGGCAAGCGGCGTTCTGGCGGCGCAAGGCGCGTTTTTGCACCTGCCAACGGCCCTTTATCAGGCGCGCAGTGTGGGTCTCTGTCTCACATGCCGGGTTCCACTGAGTGCCCTTCTGACCATGTGTTTGCAGTGGTCAGGGGAGCCTTTGCAAATCAGCAGAGCGCAGCAAGCCAAGCAAAGACTGGATGCTGAGAAGGTACAGAGAGCACTGATGAACACTGGAGGGCCCTTGACTCTTGACTGCAGGTCTCCTGAGCCTGAAGATGGAGAATTCGTTCTGGCAAACAACAGAGCCTGGCACCTGGCGAACGGGCGCCAAGTCTTGGGCCTCTGGGCTCTGTGGCCCTCAGGTAGGGAGCCTACGTTTACAACATCATCTTGCTGACAGTCCGGGACACCTCAAGGCCAAGGGTTTTCAAATGGGGTCAGCCAGCGTGAGCGTACGTCGGCAGAAGCGTGGATGTTGCGCAATCTGATTTACAGAATCCAGCCCCCCGGAACCCGTAACTCCCAGCTCCAACCTACCAAGAAAAATGTTGCATTCCAAACATATGATTGGATGCCGTGTTCTTCTTCCTTCGCCGTTGTATTATTTCCTTCATTCACACGGGCCTTTATACCAAGTCTTTTGGCCCGTGAATTCATTTTTTTATCAAAAGCCCATGAATCATGTGATTGCAAGCGCGCGAACGAAATTCTTGGATGGGCGTTGGAGTCTAATGTTCCTCGTCGAGTGTCTAGATGGCTTGCTGTTGAAGCGGGAGGATACTCTTAGGGTTTAAGAGCAACCATGCCTTGATTGGATTGGGTTCGGCTGAGTGTCTGTGCAAGCCTTTCACCTTGCCGAATGTGCTGCGTGTTTTAAGGCTTGCTCGTGAAACGAAAGGGAGCGTGCGGGTGTAAAAAAAGCAGTTTGTCTGATTTGATTGACTTCGGCTGTGCATTTGTTCTAAGCAATGCACCAAGCCAAAGCGGCTGGAGTTGCATGGTTGCTGTGGCACAGCGAGTATTGGAGGTTTTGGGCAAGGGGCTAGTTTGCCTTGGGGTTTGGAGACCAGACGGCCAGACCCATAACCCTCGTTGTTCACTGCCGACACATTTGCATGTCGCTCGTGCTTCCGAGCCCTGCCAGGAAGTGTTCAAGGTTTTCTTCTTCTTCTTCTTCATGTAGCCAAAATGGTTTTCGCATGTAAGGCTGATGAAACCGGTCTGTTTTTGAGTTTGGGTAAGGGGGGGGTAGGGGCTTCTTTTCTTGAGGGGACAGACAACAAGACCGATTGATATTCCTTCAAACCTATCGCGCCTCAGAACCTTTCACTGCTGTGATTGCAAATGAAACCTGCGTGCAGTGACTGCCCGGCTGCGATAGCTTCCATAGCCATGCTGAGCGAAGCAGTGCCTTGTTATGATCTGGTGTCAGGGTGCCGGCATGGCGTCCGGACCTTGGCTTCTGTCAGGAATCGTCAAAGATGTGAAAGGCATGCGCAGCACGTCTTTCAAGGCACGAAGCGAATGCAGCTTGGCCTGTAGTATTGCTTTCTTTGTGCTCACGATGACGCTCATGAAGCGTGGACGGATGGCCCGTCAGAAAGCCTTGAGCTGAGGAAATGAGCAGACCTCTTGCGCGTGCGCATTAGCATAAGGAGACTAAGATCATGTAGATATGTGGCTACTCCTGATTGCCCGCGCATTCTCCATAACGGTGATCGAGTATTCTCCTCAGTTTTGCATCAGGAGTAGTTGCAAGGCTTCAGGGAGATGTGTAGATTCCAAATGGAAGTTGTGCTGCAGAGAAACATGCTGCAATCGATCTGCTTTTCACCCTGTAGCATCGCAAACGCACATCGTACATACTTGACGTGCCAGTTTCACTGGCTTGTATCAAGCTAGTTCTTAAACGAATTCGATGTGGCATCTTGCTGCGTGTCTAGAAGGTGGCTGTGTTGATAGTTCGTGGATGTAAGGTCTGGTGTTCTTTTGGTTATAGGCGTATATAGGCGTAATGGGCACAAATGCCTCTCGGAGCACGTGCGCTAACCAGGTTCGACTATGGCCCGTTTGAAGCCACGCAGCCTTTTCAATTCATCGGCTGCATCTCTGCGGCTTGGGTCTGAGACGGGCGCAAGCACCAGAACAAATTGCACATGGGGTGGGGCACAGGCTGCATAGGCTGCACATGCCTTCACAGACATCGGATGGACCGAAGGTGATCGAACCTCATTGCCGTACCATGCCTGCGATTTTCCATGGTTTGCCTTGTGCACGAGGTTGTGAAGGGAGTGGCACGGAACCTCAATCTACCCAGCAACCGGCCAGTGCTAGCCCAACCAGAGGAGTATGTTCAATGGGAGAACAAGCTCAAGAGGTGTGGGTTGACTTAGCAAAGATTCTAAAGAAGTCGGTCGAGAGACAATTCCTCATTGCCATGGCTGCGCCATGTCATGGGGTCAGGTGCTCCGAGGCCCCCATTGGGCATGATGGTGGCATGGAAGCTGCAGATCACATCGTTACTGCATCTCGTCTCCATCACCACTCCCCAAGCTCCAGTGATGTCCAGAGACTTTTTTGTAGGACATCATGAAAGCAAGGTGGTAGACACCTGTTGCCTGGCGAACGGCCGGGAGAGTAACCAAAACCGGTCCTTGGACGCACTTTTCAGCGCACTTTCGGCTTACACGTGCTAAGCTGAGCAGCGTCACCCTCTGAAGCAAACTCGGAAACACAGCTTAAGGTACGTGACAGAAGCTATGTGCAAGCTCTTATGGTCAGTTCTTGGCCGCAGCCATCACCTGCCAGGCCCGACGAAGCAGGGCGACCGCCAAAGCTAGAAGAACGCCCGGCATGGTTCAGCTTTCTTGAAGAAAGCTTGAGAGCCTCATATGGCCATTGTCCGCGGCAGGAGAGTCAGCCTGTTGAAGTTCCCGTCCAGAGCTGAAAGCTTTCGAGATTTCGCACTTCCTGGAGTTCGGGGCAATGCTCGACTGGATGGATTGGATTTCTTTATTTCTGTGCACTGAGGGCATTCTACTGTCGGGCAGAGACCTGAGCTTCTCTCTTTTCTGACACGAAGTTTTTCTAAAGGTGTCTCCTTGGGAGCCGTGTGCCTGAGGTAAGACTAACGTGCTCGGGCCGGGGCCCTTCCGGAAGCTTTAGCAAGCTCTGCTTCGATGAGACATTCGAGTTTGCTGGCTCCAGGAAGCTCTCCGATAGTGAGGCTCGGCTCCTGTGGGAAAGGGCTTGTTAGGCCATGTCTGTAGCCATGTGTGGACAGTTTTTTAAGTTCAGATCTTGGAGTCTGGTTTTGACCCGCGGCCTTTTTGCAGGCTCCATCGAGCACCAGCTCACTTCCAAGCTTCTGGTGTCTTTTTTGGTGCACAGGTCATGAAATGTTGTTTCCATGCCTTCGTCTCATAAATTCCGCAAAAATGGAGAGCAGCCAATCTGTTGGTTTTTGACACCGAACATCAGCCCGAAGCCCTGGCGAAGAGAGCGAGAGAGAGAGAGAGAGAGAGAGAGCGAGCGAGTGGGGTGCGCAGTGTCTTTCAGTGAGATGTGGAACCCAACAATCTTTGGGGGAAACAACCTAGATAGCTCTGGAAGGAGCGATTTGGAGGGCGGGAAAATCCACCAAACCCACATGCATGAGACAGCAGTGCCTGCTTTCTCGACCACCCGCACGGAAACTGCAAAGATGCGCAATGCGTGATGGTGTGCTTGCCGTTGTTGTTAGCCGTTTCGGGGGCAACGCTCTCTCCTCAGATGTAGTGCAAGTGCTTCTTTTAGCACCTGTGTCACACCGACCATAGACCGAACTTTCCGGGCGCGCCCAGCGCGAGAGCCAGGGTCATCTTCCCTAGTCCCTAGGCCCTGAAGAAGAAGAAGAGGAAGGGGCGCGCAGCGCGGACTGCACAGGGGAAGGGGACAGCCCCAGACACCAGGCCCCAAAAAAGAAAGAAAGCAAGAAAAGAAAAAAAGAAAGAAATAAAGAAAGAAAGAAATAAAGAAAGAAACAAAGAGTGACATGAATACAGAAAAGAAAGAAAGAAAGACAGAAACATGAAACAATCAAGAAGCAAGAGAGTGTACAAAGAGGAGAAGAAGAACAGGAGAGACAAATGGTTTCGTTTCGGGTCCGTGGTTGCTAACGCAAACAACCCGACTCTCGCCATTCGTTGCTTCGTTGTCAAAAATAAGTAACCCTCTGCACTCCCAGTGAGGGGAGCTGTAGCATAAAGGAGGAAGAGACCATAATTCGAGGCGGGGAAAGTAAACCCTGATCATCAGAAGATGGCAATGCGTGTTTTCGCCTCTTCCCCTGGCGACCGGGAAGGAGGTACTCCGCAAGGTTTTGGGCTTTGTCTTATTGTGCTTGTCTTTGAAGTCGATCCGGGTGCGCACATTTTCGAGTTAGTGTCACACTGACCTGGGTGGACCAGTGCGTCCGCAGAAGCGGAAGAAGGAGAGAGAGAGAGAGAGAGAGAGAGAGAGAGAGCGGGAGAGAGAGAGAGAGAGCGGGAGACCGGGAGACCATACGCGCTGCAAGCAAGCAAGCAAGCGAGGAAGAAGAATGAGAAGAAGAAGAAGAAGAGGAAGAAGAAGAGATGAAGAGACCAAGAGATGAAGAGATGAAGAGATGGAGAGATGAAGAGATGAAGAGATGAAGGGATGAAGGGATGAAGGGATGAAGAGATGAAGAGATGAAGCCCTTAGGGAGTCACTCGGGGACCCTAAAGTTGTTGGTTGGCCCCAGCACCAGGCCGAAAACCCAAGAACAACGAATTTGCAACATGCAAGCTTTATCACTTTTGAATTCTTCGCGCCTGGAGGGCCACTGTTGCGCTTGAGGCCCTAAAACGGCCTGAAGCCAAGAAGGCCTGCAAGGCCCCTTGAGGTTCAATATGGCCGAAGACCCCCCCCCTCCCCGCGAGTACTGCACGGCGTCCATCATTGTAACTACTTGCCTTACGGGTCCCCTCCTCAGAAGAAAAGAGAAAAGCACCCGGATCGATGGGTTGCGGGTTGATCGTTTTCCTCCATGCTGTTTGAGGTCTTCGCCGGCGCTAATCACTCTTTCAACTCTTTCCTTCCACGCTAAGTTTTATTTCTCACAGCTGCAAGCTTGCTTGAGCAGTTGGCACGGCAGTGTGACAGCATGTGACAGCCCGTCTTCTTGTCCCCCCCATGCGCATGCCGTGCGTCATGATGCAACTCAAAATGCAGTGCTCCGAATGGGAATGTTGTGTGCCGGATGTTGCCATGCTTGAGGTGCTCATGCAGCCGAGGGCAGTCAAGAGTTTGCGCGGCCTTCAAAACGACGTCGTGTAGCTTGTTGTAAATGAGGACCATTCAGCACCTAAGGTTGGCAAGCACTGTGCAGATGACTCCGGCCTTGAGACCGCATGCAGTTCGTGTCATCTCGTTGTTCTGTGTGTGACTGGAGCCTGGATTGGGTATACTGGATCCTTCAGCATTTGGCCGCGCTCAGGGAAGGGTACGACGCCACCGGGGCCATCGAGCGTGAATGGACTGGCAGGTTGCCAGCTGGCTTGGTGCACGTACTGTGCAGATTTCCCTTTGCGAGCTGCAGTTCACAATCATGAATGACATTCTACGACCGCCAACTCTGAGGAATCGTGGCAAGCATGTTGATCGTAGCAATTCGCCTGCCGTCAGCAGCTCGTCAACCCAGCCATTCACGACACAGCCCACGTGTCGGCATGACACTGCAAGATAGTTGCTGTAGAGTTCCGGACTTGATGTTGTGCTATTGAAACACCCCAGACCAGCAGACCTGTGAAATCTTTAAACTCCATGGCGCGGTCTTTGCAACCTGCTGCCGGTGAAGGCTGGACGTGGTTCGTGAGGGTGGAGGGCTTGCGGGAAAAAGTTCCGAGCAATCAGTGTACCACATTATGTGGTCATACGTACACAAGAGCACATGCGAGATCCTTGGGCGCCCTTTGCGCACTGATGCGGACTGCGTTTGCACAGCACCAGAGGTCCGGACGTCCTTCGCGGATTGCGTTTGTACCACAGTACCGCACAAAGCCTCCTTCGCGCCCACGCGCGGCCAAAATCCGCACGCAGGTTTCAGCTTGTGTCATGCCGTACGCACCGAGACGGTGGTCCTTAAAAGGGTTCGTGAACTGCGCTGAAGACCCCTCGGCAACGCCTTCGGAAACTGTAGGAGTGCAACGGTTGCCCGAAAGGGTTCGGGAGTGCTTTGAGCAATGTTGAGAACTCAAAGCCAACAATGGTCTTGGAATCACATGTGCGCCTGCAGGCCCGTCGATCAGTCGCACACAAGTAGCATGAGGCCGGTGAGTGGCTGCAGGGATGAGTCGTTCTACTGAAGAAATGCTCTGTGCAAGCTTGAATGAGTTAGGTTCGGCATCGAGTATGCAGCTGCAGAGATTGCGCAGCATGTCGCGAGCTTGACCATCAGATTAATAAGGCATCGTGAGCAGATCATGAGGGTGTTGCAAGCGCTGTGTCTTGAGGCTTCTTCTGAAAGCCTTTGGGTGGCCAAGCGCATAGAATTTGTTTCTTCTCAGTTGTCGCAAAGGATATGGTGCAAATTTGTGGGATGTGCAGCAGTTTAAAGCGTCAGGTCATCGATTCCAACGTTTACGATGTTACGGAGTTTCGGACCATGCATCCCGGCGGCTCGGCCATCCAACAAGGGGTGCTGCAATGAGTTCAGTCTCCCTTGCTTCAGCGGTCGGGCTGACAATGGCTGACAGGTGGTGCGCAGATCTTGTTGCAGCATTTCCCTCGGTGGAGTTGTTACAGTCATGGGCCTGTGTCGTTTCGCCCTGTGATGAGGCATGGTGGATCTGATGCAACGATACCAGCTCAATCTGCACACGGCACTAGCAAGAAGGCTCGAAGCTTGATGTCCCGAGCTTAACAACGCCTGTAGTAACCCAAGCAAGATTTGCGGTGACAGGGCTGACTAAGTTGCAAGGTCGAGATATTGTATTGGCAGAATAGCGGCTGGCCGGAATCTGAGCCTGCATTCCATTGCATTTCATTTGAGAAAACATTGTCAAACCGAAGTTTCCCACACAGTCCCCGCTCGACCATCCTCAGATTTAAGTCTGAACTCGCGAGCAAGGTGAAGCGCTTTCCGCCAACAAGGCCGCGTTTGGTGTATGCTCTGGACGATTGTTGCTGTCACACCGGGCAGGCTGTTCCTGTTCAAGACCTTGGCAAGAGTGCCTTGGAGCTTTGAGAAAACAGTGATTTCACTTGGTGATGCTGTAAAGATCATGATGCCATTGGGCGGAGATTGAAAACGCCATGAAACCTTCGAAGAACGAAACCTCCGAAGAAAGCGGACATTCAGGGTCAAGGAGTCTTCTCTTAAGGGACCGGAGCCCAAAGGTTTCTGGTCTTTCTTTCTTTGCCACATCAATTTAGTAACCATGTTCAGACAATGAGAACCGCCTGGGCTTTCTAGTCGTAAGCAATACCATGCGGAGCTCATCTGCAAACTAGGAACTAGTAGGGAGGTGGTCTTTGTACAGGGACAGGTTTGCAAGCTCAACTTCCAAGCCCCCTCGCCCCCAAAAACGGTTTTGGGCCCCTTTCTAATGCCCGGGGAGAGGTGAGTAAATTAACGACAGTGCCACATTGCCTCCTTTCCGCTAAACTCGAAAACACATGTGGTGGGTCAAGAATGGCAGGTTTGGGAGGCGTATTCAGCTAGGCGAACGAACGATGCACGAACCTGTCAGGTGCCGTTGCCGCTGAGGCTCCTGCCAAGGCTCGGGCATCACGTGCTCCTCTGTCACCATGCCTTCGTCTTTTGCAGCTACATATGGACGCAGCAGATTCTGTGAGGTTGTTGCTTTGGAGGACCTGGCTGACAGTTCGGTACTAAGATGAGTGGCCAGCGTTTTGAGATGAGAGCTCAAGGACGGCATCCGAAACTGCAGGTGGAGATGTGCTACCCACGCCCAGCAAGGCAGCACCCAGCAAGGCAAAGATCAGGGATGATCATTAGGGGTTGGCAGGCATGATGATGCTCTGGCCATGGCTTGCAGGTGATAGCTTTGGAAGAGCTTGGAAACGGCTCCAAGCTTACAGTTTCAAATAGTCTTGGTTTCGCTACGCCGATGCCTCGATGAGCTAAGGGCACGAGGCTGCGCAGCCGAAGAAGGCCATGGACATCTTAAATGAGTCTGTAGAGCTGACATGAGCTGACATGAGTCTGACATGAGCTGACATGTGTGCAGGTAGTTGCACTGGAAGACCTGGGGCAGAGCTCTGCTCTGAGTGCTCTGAGCGCAATGTTACACAGTGTTGCAACATGCTGGAGACTGGGCAGTAGAATGGCCTTTTTTTGCTTCAGGTGACATTCCTGCTGAAACCAAGCCAGCGAGCAAGGCCGTGTTTCAGTGGCAAACGGCTCGTGGGAGCGTGTGAACATTCTGGTCCTCTGCAGGTAGTTGCGTTGGAGGAACTTGGCAGTACCTTGCTCGGTGATGACAACGGTGCTTGCGTGTACCCCGAAGTCACAACCTTCTTGGGAGAGATTTGGTTTTGCCAGCATCACATGATTAGACAGGTGATTCACCTGCGAAAGGAGCGCGGCACGCTGGATGACCCAGGAATCAGGCAGCAAAGGCAATGCTTCTCGGGGCTTGATCTGAGGTTGTGGCGCTTGAAGATCTCGCAGATGGTACGTTGCTGAGACTCGGACCGTCCTGCCATGCTCGCATGAGTGCGAACCAGAAACCCGCACTCCAGGCGAGTCAGAAAGTCAACGAACCTAGTGTTGCTGTCCGACTTCTTGAACACCATTTTTGTTTATAGGTTATTTAGGGCTTAGGAAATTTTAGGTTCTTTTTGTTCAGGGTTGAAGGTTACGGTTTTTAGGGTTAGGATTTTTGCGGTTTCTGATTTTGGTGATGTTTTGTTTGTTTTTTCGAGTCTTGGGGTGTCATGGTTAAAATTTTCGTTTGTTTATATTTGGTCGGGTGGTTGTATTTTGTTGTTCTTGGTGTTTTTTGCAGTTCTTGGTGTTTTTAGAGGTTCTTGGTTTTCATGGTTTTTCAGGTTGTTGGGCGTAGCCTCTCTCTCGCTCTGTCCCCTCCTTGCATTTCTACACCTTCTGACTTGGCACCGTCCTGTCTCGACTCTCGCCCATGGTATTTCCGAATTCGCGCGGTATGTTTTTGATTGAGGATTCGGCCTTTTCCATCGGGATTCTCTGGCATTTTCCGACTCACGTGGCACCCTTCAGGTCAAGCAGTGGTCCGACCCAGCAAGGCTGTGTGGTTTAGCTAATTACTGCCAGTCACAGGTACAGTATCTGTTGCGCACGATATGAGCCAACGCGGTGCGAGTGCAGGTTCCCACCTTCAAAGAGCCTTCCCGAAGCAGCATCCTCAGTTCCTTTGCAAGTTGTCACAGACTGTTAGAGACATTTGCTTCAGTATGTTTCAGTCTGCAGCAATTACTAAAGATTTAGCAATCACAGCGTGGCAGGTGAAGATCAAGATGCCTCTGACGAAAGTGGAGGAGAGTCAGGCGATTTTGTTTCGCAAGCGGATCTGGAAGAGGAGGCCAATGCCTCAGCGTGACATAGCGGCCTTTATGGGGCTGTGCAAGAGACACTTCTGTTTCGGCAGCAGTTTGCAGGGTCGGTTCGAATGGACAGCACGATTCGTTGCCTTGCTACTTGTGTTCTGCTGCTGAATAAATTGCGTGCTTTCGGGTGAGAGCCAACATGGTGTGACAAAAAGAGTGAAGAGGGATCCCGTCGGAAAGGCGCTGAAGGGGGGAGCTCTAGGCTTGCAAGACCAGAAAGCTCTGCACCAAGTAGTTCTTCATAGTGGTTTTTCAATGGTTTACTCGTGTTTCTGCATTTTCTAGATATGTTCTTATTTCATGATCGCTGCCCAGGGGTCGTTACAGAACCAGCGAAGGTCGATTTTGCACACACAGTACAGTTGGAAAATCGTCTAACCAAAGGTGTTTCCATGATTTACCAACCTTGGTTCCCCCTCCGTACTGCCAGCAGCCCAGAAGCTTTTTCAGTAAACGTCAGAAGCCAGAACGTTATCAGTTATCACACTTGAATCCTGCCTCTTGCAAGACACCTGGACTGAGGCAGCCAACGCTGCTCGCTGGCGGCTCATGTCAGCCAACGTGTTGACTCGTTCGCGGACGTGTCTTGAAAGGGTCAGCTCGCGGACGTGTCTTGAAAGGATTTGACATGGTGCAAGCTAAGGCATGAAGTTGCTGTTGGACAGCTGGGCCCTTGCCAACAAGGTTGAGGCCAACGATCCAAGAGCCTGGAACGTTGTAGAATGGAAAATGGGACGCAATAGAACAGATTCACCCAAAAGAGAGCCCGCCGGATGGCGGATGGGTCAGGACGAAACCGGTGCGCAGACCAAGGCAAGGATGTACCGCGTTCTATGCACGAGCGCACGATGCACGGTGGACGCATGGGCGATGGGCGAGCGACACGCGGGTGATGCCGAGGGCGCAATCGGAGTTCTGCCTTTTTTTGAGGCAGACGCACCAGAAGATGAGGACTCCTGTGAGATCGAGGTTGAAACAGACGACAAGGTGCTTCTAGCCGCATGTGTTCGTGCCAATCGCCTTGAAGCAAGTTGTCAAGCAGCAGCCAAGGCCCCTAAGAAGAGCAGATGGGCCATGGGCTCACTCAAGGGTTGATGCTTCGGACCTCTGCGATCCTCTGCAGACCAAGGCCAAAATGAAAGACTGGGGAATGCAGCGCAGCATGGAGTTCAAAGGAGCCTAAGTGTGCCACAAGTGCAGCCACTGCAGTCACGAAAGCTAGCTCCTGGGAGCGTGCGGAAGCTTGTCGTTTTCCAATCAATCCTTTTTTCGTTTTTTTTTTAATCTCTCTCTCTCTCTCTCTCTTTCTCATTGTGTCTCAAGTGTTTCAGGTGGGTCCAAAGGCGACCGTGGGCCTTATGGTGGCACGAAACGCAACTCGCTAACGGTGTGCGAAAGGGGGGAGGGCAACCCCCACCTTACATGATCGATTCCATAAAACTTAACGCTTCCCCGCCCCCCCGCGAAAAGGTGGAACACGCAAGCAGCCTGTAGATTTCAGCACATATGCACACACATGCAAAGCAGATCGGTAGATGCTCTTCGCTGCCGGAGTATTTGGTGGCACTCACCCGGAACCCCAAAGCGTGCACAAGCTTGTTGAGATACGCAGGCGACATTCAGACTTCAGCAGGCAAATTGCGGTTTCCGTGCCCGCTCCGCGCATAAAAGCAACGGCACGTGTCTAGCTTTCGTAGTCACAGTCTACTGAGCGTGGAGCGGCGCAGAAGGTGATCCCAGAACTCTGCCTATCAGGACGCAGGGGAAGTGCGGAGCAAGTTTCTGCATCCATGGATGAGTCGGTGCATGATAAAGAGGAAACGGTCGCAGCCTCAAGCCAATGGACGTGGAAGTGCTATGCACTTGTATCGATTGATGCGGAAGGTGCAGAACTTGCTGGGCAGCAAGGTGTCGACCTGAGCCAAGCAGAGATAAGGAGAACGTGCTGATATTGTAGCCTCATGCCCACACAATGCCCACACATTCATGTCGGGAGGGCACGGTTGAGCCGCTTGGCTTGGTACATTGGGTACATGCTCGAGCGGTTGAATTCTGATGCAGTTCAGGTTCCGGCGACGTATCAGGAGATGTTCGAATTCAATGCCACTGTCATGGGTTTCGGGAAGCACAGATGGCTTCGAGAGGTAGGATGCTGAGGACAGGCCTTGATTCACTATGAGTCATCTTCGCTGCGTGTGCAAGCAGGTAAACAGATCTTTCGATGACATCGTGAAGCATGCCGGCAACACTTCCCGACTGCAGGAAGAGTGTGAGGTGCGCGGGTTGGGAAGTGTGCGGAGAGTCGTTTCTCTCGTGCACGGCATCGGTGTTTTCCTATCTTGCAGGTTCTGGCGCTACGGATCTGCAAAACAGCCGGGATCCGAAGTTCGAGCAAGCAGCTTCTTGCATCTTATCGGCCTTCGAATCTGCAGCTAAAGGTGGATGGGGAGGTGAATCTGTCTATGTACCGGTCGGTGCGCCTGAGAAGAGCCGCTTGAAGTTGAGATGCCGCTTGGAGATCTTCGATTCTTGGCAATGCAGGCGATGCTGGCTGCACTTCGATCGATGCTTCCGAAGGCGCACGGTCTCACAGTCTTCCCATGAGACTCATGTGACATCGCTGCAAGCCAACGAAGCACTCGATAGACCTGGGATCCCAACCACGAGACAGTGTGGAACTGGCTCTGGGAGAGTGCCTGCCTTCCCAGACGTTTCCAGTTCAGTGAATGCTCGAAGCCTTGGTAGCACGAAGAGACAGCAAGGTTGAGAAAAATCTCCGCGAGATTCTGTACAAGCCGCGGGCGTGGGAGTGCGAAGCCTAGATGGAAATATCTCCGAACCACGACGGCTAAATTGCCGTCTTTACGCTTTTTTTCTCTTGGACCATCCGCGCACACCAGGCCGGAGCTGCTGCGACTCATGTCACTCTGGTCTGAGGCCAGGTCACTGAAGAATCTCACGTGTTCATTCTGTGCAACATATGATGACGCAAAAGCTCCATATGAAGGATGAGAAGGTGGACCTGCGCAACGAGGTCTACGTCCGCTTTTTCCAGGTGGCGCCACAGGGCCAGGACGGAAGAGAGGGCACAGCAGAGGCGACAGCCACTGTAGAAATAACTAGCAGAGCGAGCCTACCATGATCCATGATTCTGAGGGTCGCCGAACTGCCTTGGCACCCAGAACCCTGCAAAAAGGCTCCAGGATTTCAGGAAACTTTTCTCTTAACTCGTGCCGAAAACACAGGCAGACTTCTTCGCCCGTGTCTCCAGATACTCCACACTGTGCGCTCCACCAATCTGTTGGAATGGGGCTAGAATTCCAGCGCGGCGGAATTTGTTTGGAGGAATAGGGCCTGGGCCAGATCCAAGTTTGCGTTGCTGAGCATTGAGCCCGCGAGCCCTTGCTGGAAACACTTGTGCCGAATCCTGAAGCAGCCTTGCTCAGATGATAAATTTGTTCTTGAGCCCTCTGGCATGTTCATGCCGAGAGTGATGGAGGAGTTCTTCAAGCAGTCGAACACCAGGCTACACTTCATCGCCACGCGGGCGATGGACATGACGTCTGGGGCCTGGCCTGGTCACATGAGATGCAAGGCGCTGTAGTACACAATTGATCAACATGTTGCCTTCTCAAGGTCTGAGCTACTGGCTGACCCCTGGGAGATGGCAGTGGGCCCTGAACTCCTGTACCGCCGAGATGTGCCAAGTGTGTGTGCTTTTCCAAGACCGAGCAGATCTCTGCCCTCGGTCTGCGCCATGTGGGTGCAAGCCCTAGATGCGAGAGCTTTGCGATGGCAAGGGATAGTTTGGCAAGGATGCCCCTACCAACAGTACCAACCTTGCATCAAGGTTACGGAATCCCTACCCATCTCATTGGCCCGTTTGCGAATGCCTTCGTGGAGGACTGCAGTTGTAGGCTACGCGCCTCACCTAGAAGTTGTTCTCATGCACAGCAGGTTCTGCACGAAGCCGCGCCCAAAGAGACTGAAGCTCTCGAAGCCTTTAGGCACTTCCAATTTTCCACGCATTGCACGAAAGAGTCGAGATCATTCAGTGTTCACATCGAGCAAAATCGAGCAGACAGGTGGTCCGTCCTGCTGGTTGCAAAAATTCTGATTCGGGTCATTGAAGAGGGCGCCACAATTGTGCGGCTGCCCAGAGCGCTGAGAGAGCACCGAGAGCACCTGTCAAAGTGTCAAAGTGTGAGAAGGAATCTCGAAGTCTCTAAGCTTGAATGTCACATGATGGTACTCTGGCACTCTGCCATCAGGTGATGAAAGCAATCAATGCAAACTCGGCCCTGCCTCACTGACACGCATTCTTTTTTTCGCGCATGTCACGCATGTGGAGTCCGCCTTGGATCTGAAGGGGGCCCCAAGCTGCCAGTTACGGTTTCATGCAGGCAGCTCAGAAAGGCTGTAGCCTTGGCTCCTCGCGGTGAGCGTGCACAGTGGTTGCCACGCCCTTACGGCAGACCTATCTTGCAGCGGACATGCGTCGAGAAGCTCCGAATTTGCGGCATGAGTCTACATTTCCGCATCAGATGCTAGCAGAATCTGGAACGGCAGCTGTCGTGTTTCCCGAGTAGCCACACGGACGAGAAAGGATCAATAGGTGTAAGTTCCCTGTACGGCCTGGACGATCACGTACGTGTTGATGAAGATGAGGGAGGATACAACGCATACGACTTCAAGGTTCAGGAAGTGCCAAGCACAGACAGCCAATCCAACCAGTCGAAAATCGGAAGCTCGAGACACTTCGTTGGAAAGCACAGGGATCAGGGAATGGCTAAAGTGGTCACAGCACGCACGTCCCTCCGTGCGTGGTCTTTGGGGAGGGCTTAGATTGGGCAAGCTAAAGATTGCTCCCCCAAGATGCCAGTGGTTCGGGACCTCGACGAGTTAATTTGCATGGCGCCCCACATAGATAACCCGGACATTGCTGTGGCTCGGGCACTAAGTTTGGAAGGCTGACGATAGGCATTGAGGCAAGACAAGTGTCGGAAAATGCCATTGGGGGCGGGAGTCAGGAAAAAGGAGGGAGTCGAGTCAACCAAGAAGTGCACTGAGCCCATAGTGTTTTTCCGATTCGATGGATGTCGGACGTCGGACTTCGCTTTGGTAGTCCGACTCCCGTTCTCAGGCCCACCTCCAAATCCCAAGACATTGCAGACCATGGAGACCAGACGTCTCAACATCCGTTGATGTGGCTGCGGAGGCTTCGCATCCAAGTTGGCACTCAGCAGATCTCGCCGTTGCAGCGCGCTCAGTCAACTCAGTGGTTCAGTGTGTGGGTGTGATTTCCCTCTTCTTTACCTAGCGCTGCCTGTGGTTGCTGGGCGCATTTGGAGAGTCGAGGTTGTCCATGATGGCAACTTTCGAAGCAGAAAGATTAGGAAGATGGCGGCCTACTTGTCAGGTCTTTCGAGCAAGTGTTGTCAGAATGTGTCGTGCCGTGGCTGGGGAGGAGGGGAGTTGCGCGCCAGAGCGGGGCAGCTGCGGACGTGGAGAAGCAGTTGATTGGAAGCGACCCAAAGCCGCTCCTCTGTCATTCGCAGCCAGCGGCCAGAGGCCAGGGCCAGGCAAGCAAAACACCGGCATAGTTCTCAAATCTAGGCACAGCTGCACAACCAACCGAAAGCCTAGACGTGGCAAGCTCAACTTTCCGGATGACCGGGTGCCCGAATGCCCAAGGCATCAAGCAAACACAATGGCTGTTGTGTGTTTTGTGACATTCTGCTAGAAGAGCGAACATTATCTGGCCACAGGAAGCATCAAAGGCTTTTCAGACCGACAACCGCCGGAGCTACCTGGCTACCTGGCCACCCTTGGAGTCCGCACACTGTGCAGATGGGTTGTCACCTGAGACATGGCTCACGTGGCTCACGTCTTCGCGGCCAGAGAGTCGTAAACGAGCAAGCATCGCGAAAGGGCGCAGCGAGCTGCAGAACGCACGAGGCTGACGCCAACAATCGCCAACACCTCCAACACCTCCGACACCTCCGACACCTCCGATGCCGAGCCCCGCCTTCCATGCCTGTCACCTTTGCCAACCCATGCCGAGCCAATGGGCAAAGTTCCGTGCCGAAAAACAGCCAGGCCCCAGCTTGCCTTCCCTCCTCAAAGCACCCTCAGTTTTGTTGCAACAAGGTCTTGGGCCATCGAGAGTGGCAGCTTGGAGGCTGCACGTGCGATGATTCAGGCCAGAAACATCCAGAAGCCAGTGTGCTGCACACAACTGCCTCATGGTTGGCCGCAGGATTTGCTGACAATCAGAGCTGATCGGGAGAGATACTACTATGGAGTCCCTCGGCACATGGGCTTGCCTGCGTGCAGTCGCAGTCATCGTGCCTTTCTTTCCTTTCTCGCCCTTGCTTTCCTTTCTTTCCTTTTTTTCCTTTCTGATTTTCTGAGTTTCTGGGCCTGAAGGTTGACGCCCTATTCCAAGCTCATTCAGACATTGTGGAGCGGCTCTGCACGGATGCCGCGGCCTCGTCTGTCACGCAGATGTGGCACGTCGCCGCACACTACAGAACTCACTGCTTCTCAAAAACTTAGATTCTGTTGGGCACTTAAGGGGCTTATAAGTGGGTTTTTGAATACAGATATAATTGATTAGTAAGTACCATGAACCTCCAAGTAATGTTGCTGCTGATCCCGCTTGTTCAGAACTGCCTGTCCTTGCTACTCCTCTGCTGCGCTTCTAGCACTCCAGGCTTTGCTGCTGCTGCCCACGCTTTTGGATGGCTTGGTGTGGCGATCAAAGCGTGCCATCAATGGTGCCAGGCCGCATTTGCATACGGGTAAGTAGAGTCAAATATAAGCAAACGCAAATACAACTTTTGCGTACGAGTTGAAGCATACGATCTTTGACCTCCAGCCGATTTTTGCCCTCTCAGGCGCGTAAACTTTTATGTGAAGCACCTTGTCGTGAACAAGGCCCTTCCTGGATAGAGACTTTAGTATTTCAGGGAGGGGTGGCCGAGTCTGCAGTTGATGCCTTGATGCAGAAAGCAAGTCAGAAGCGTCTCGGATTCGCTGTGGCGCATTCGTAGGAGGCAGCCTTCTCGGCTGCGCTCAAGGCCGTTGCAGATGCCAAGGCAGGAAGTTGGGCAAAGGTCCAAATTTCCCAACAAAGTGTGGAAAGCTTGAACACCACGCTAATCTCATCACGAGACGCGCGTAATCTGACGACAGGATGTCAAGATCATCTCTCATCAAGTGGTTGTGCAGATTTCTGACACCTTGTGGCAGCGATCTCGAATTTGGGCTGTCGTGGTTGCTTTTTGCTTGCTGAGCAAGGCTGTCATGCGAGTGGTAGCAGTTGCTGCTGCCGGGTATTTCCTGGAACAGTGTGTAAGAAAGGCCAGTGGAGGCTTGTAGAAACATTGGGTCCTATCAGACGCAAGTTGTGCCAGGCACAGCTTACCTGACAGGATACCCTTTCCGTAAAACTCTGATGTTTACGGTCAGTCACCAATCAGGACTCTTGTCAGACAGTTTGTTCAGGCTGAGCGAAAGAGCTTACAAGCTGTGGTGCGTAGCTACCCGGTAGCAGTTGCATCTGAGGTCGGGCGTGGTGCGCCGTCAGTTCATCTTCTCCAAGATTAGCTTCCTGAACGATTCTCAGCAGGTTTCTGCTGTGCCTGGTGTACTGAGCTGCAAATTTGTGCAGTCGCCAAGGTTCAGCCTGATTGTCTTCATGCTGAGCCAGGCCATTCTACCCAAACTTCAGTCAGCTGACGAGTCCTGATCTCAGCTGCATCTCAGCTGCTGTGGTCGTGTGCTGCTTGCATGACATACATTGACATACGTGTAACCTGAGGCTCAACATGCGAATTGCAGTTTTCACTGGTCGGTTGATAAACTATGCCTTCAGCTGGGATCTCAGCCTTGTGAAATCTTGTGCTTAAAGGCATTTAAAGGCTTAAAAGCTTCTCGCATGTATTCAAGGAACCATGACGAGCATTATATAGCAACCTGCGTTTTTTCTCAAGATCCGGCTCAACTTGGCACTGGCACCCAGGTATGACGCGGCTTCTTGTCTTCCACCTCCGTCGCATTGTCAAGGCGTTCCGCACGGGAGCGACAGTCAAAGTTGGACGGGTGTACGAGGCTTACCGATGCCTCGTCGTGGAGGGAACCTGTCAAGCCTCAGACATTCTTATGTTGTTGCTCCAAGGCCTGTCCCAGAATACCTGAAAGACGAGGATGCCAAATTGCGACTCTGGCTTCTTCATCTTCTTGTCACGGATAATCTGGGTTTGACCTGTGCCAGGGGTTTCATCCTGCTTTGCATGCTGGTCGCTATGTGCGCAAGCGAGCGCAGCCCTTAGACGGTCTTATGGCTGACTTTGGCTGACTGGCAAGATGCTCGTTACGACGTTTGTTTGTCGAGCGCCTGGCTTCTTGAGGCCGATGTTCTACTGCGCACAAGGGATCATGACGACAGGAGCTGCTTTGGCTGCTGTGATCTGCTGTGGCTGTGGCGATCTTGCTCTGTGGAAGCCGTAAGCAGCAAGAAGCACAGGCCGAACAGGAATGAAACAAGCTGGTGACGGTCAGCTCTCGAGAATTCACATCTCCTGAATATTGTTGATCTTCAGACATTAACGCTTCCTTGAAGTTGCTTGGGCTCGGAGTGGTGCAGTTCGGTCAAGCAGGGGTGTCGGGGTCTTGGATTGGAGGCGGGGGAGAGGGGGAGGGGGAGGGGGAGGGGGAGGGAGGGTCGACGGCGCAGATGAGACAGTACCATAAGTTTTTGTCAGCCAGAATGGCGCGCCATCCAAATGAGAAGGGCCTCATCCTCGCGCAGGGACGGGCATTGCAATCTGGGAGTGGCCTTGACAAGTCCAATTCTTGCCCACCAGCGCCGTGAAGGACAGGATTTCGACTTTCGTTCTCTAAGGCCTCCGGCTGTCTCGTGATGGCACGCGTGTGCTGACTTATCACAGGCCCTTCGAGCAATTTGCCGCTGTATTAGGATTGATAAAATGCTACGCGAGAATGCCTGGGCTTTGTTTGACCTTTGCCGAACTCTTTCCGACCTCACTCTCCCCTTCCACACACGCGCTTCGTCCCCTTCCACACACGTGCTTCGTGTCAGATTGTTCGAACTCTCCGACAGGACCTAGTGAGACTTGCGTGCTGTGCTCAGATCTGCAAACTTTTAGTTGTACAATACTTGACATGAACTCGCGCAGATGTGAGATTGCCCAATGCTGGAGGAAACGGCCAAACCAGTCACGCCCTTCTACATACTCTTCTCGGTGGGCGAGCACCTAAGACTACTAAGAGACGGTGCTGTGATAGTGAGATGGCTCCACAAGTGCTTGCAAAGATGCAAGAGCAGAGAATTCCAAAGGTGCTATGGTTTTACACTGGTTGCTTGTGATCAATCTGTCCGTCTTTGCGACCAAGCTCGCGGCATTCGTTCTCGTCCTGAGCTCAGTGATCTCCAAAGCTCTGTCAGGCCGAGTCAGCCCGAGTCAGCTCTGTGTCCTGGGTTACAATTTGTCACAGGTATGCCGCGAAGTGCTGTCAGAGGTGGGGAAGTTTCTGGAGCCTTGGCTCAAGTCTCTTTGCCAAGCATTCGCAACGCAACTTCGGGGTCTGGCGCTTGTTGCTGCATTGGCCCCGAAGATTACTTTCTCTATTTCAAGGTACATCTACACCGTGTATTGCGTAAAGGGTTTTGCTGCCATGGCTGAGGTGGCCATCATCTTCATTCTGATCACGTTCAGTAGTGCTATTGCCACCTTGAGGCAGCTCAGCTCCGTTGTGGGTTGCATATGAAACAAGGATAAACAAGGTCAAGCCAGGAACCCAAAAACGATCCGAATGACACCAGTGCCGGAGTGAAACCCCCACTTTAATATCCATTCCGTATGCACATGTTGCTCTGTCCTCCCAATACTACATTTGTACTACAATTCAACGAAAATCCCTCAGCTTCCCGCGCTGCCGTACGCGCCGTCGTACGCGCCGCAGTCCGCCCGCGCGCCCCTCCAGCTCTGTCCTCCCAGTACTATGTACTACAATTCAACGAAAATCCCTCAGCTTCCCGCGCCGCCGTACGCGCCGCCGTACGCGCCGTCGTACGCGCCGTCGTACGCGCCGTCGTACGCGCCGCAGTCCGCTCTCGCGCCCCTCCGGCTCTGTCCTCCCAATATACATTTGTACTACATTTCAACGAAAGCCCTCCGCTTCCCACGCCGCCGTACGCGCCGTCGTACGCGCCGCAGTCCGCTCTCGCGGCCCTCCGGCTGCGTCCTCCCAGTACTACATTTGTACTACATTTCAACGAAATCCCTCCGCTTCCCGCGCCGTCGTACGCGCCGCAGTCCGCTCTCGCGCCCCTCTGGCTCTGTCCTCCCGCACAACTTTTGTACTACAATTCAAGGAAAATCCCCCCGCTTCCCGCGCCGCAGTCCGCTCTCTCGCCCCTCCGGCTCTGTCCTCCCAGTACTACATCTGGACATCAATTCAACGAAAATCCCTCAGCTTCTCGCGCCGCAGTAGCAGTACGCGCCGCAGTACGCGCCGCGGTCCGTTATACATTCAACGACAATCCCTCCCGGTTGCGTTTTCATATCGTTTTCATCCCCGCTTCGCTTTCGTCCCGTTTCGTTTTCATCCCCGCAGGCGCCGCCCCGTTTCGTTTTCGCTCTGTCTCGTTGTGATCCCCGCGCCATGCTCGTTTCATCTTCATCCCCGTTTCGTTTCAACCCCGTTAGGTTTTCGTCCCGCCCCGCGCCATCCCCGTTTCGTTTTCACCTGTTTCGTTTTCATCCGGCCCTTCCAATCCCCACGCCATCCCCCTTTCGCTTTCATCCCCGTTTTGTTTTCATCCCCGTTTCGTTTTCACCCCGCGGCTCTGATCACCCGTTTCGTTCTCATCCCCGCTTCGTTCATCCCCGCTTCGATTTCATCCCCGTTTCGCTTTCACCCCGCGCCGCCATTCCCCAGAATCGCTCTGTCGCGTTTTGAACCTAAACGAGAACCCAACATCCGAGATGTTTTTGGGAAAAATATTCTGCGGGTAACGATCTTGGGGGAGGGGGGCCTGCCCCAAACCCCCGCCCCCTCCCTTGTCTGGCGCCAAGAAAAAGAAGTGGCGAACATGCAAAATGAGAAATAATGTGGTCACAGACTACATTTCTGATGCCCAATTCAGCAGGAAACAAGTAGTCTTGCTCACTCATTTTATTGGCGGAAGTCACTCCTTTCGTATCTTTTCGTATCTTTTTAGTATCTTTTCGCATCTTTTTCGTATCTTCTGTATCTTGTTCTAGCCTGTTATATCTTTTTCCTGTACTTTTCCTATCTACTTGTAATTACTTATATATCACTTGATATCCTGATCCTATCTTCCATTAAGATGATAGCGTAAGATAAAATCAAAGCATGGAGATGCCAATTTATATAACTCCTTGCATCATGTGCTATCTGAGATAGGGATATATCTACTTGCATGTGGATATAACTATATGTACCTTGTTGCAAGCACATGCACATGGTTGTAAGTGGTTGTAAGTGGTTGTAAGTGGTTGTAAGCGTGCCTGCAAGTCGTTGCAAGTCGTTGCAAGTCGTTGCATGTGGTCTATCTTTTCATAAGTAATGGGGACCACTGTGTACAACTCAACGAAAATCCCTCTGCCGTACGCGCCGTCGTACGCGCCGTCGCACGTGCCGCAGTCTGCTCTCGCGCCCCTGCGGCTCTGTCCTCCTGTACTACATTTGTACTACAATTCAACGAAAATCCCTCCCCCGTACGCGCCGTCGTACGTGCCGCAGTCCGCTCTCGCGCCCCTCCGGCCCCGGCTCTGTCCTCCAGTACTACATTTGTACAACAATTCAACGAAAATCCCTCCGCCGTACGCGCCGTCGTACGTGCCGCAGTCCGCTCTCGCTCTGTCCTCCAATACTATATTTGTACTACAATTCAACGAAAATCCCTCCGCCGTACGCGCCGTCGTACGTGCCGCAGTCCGCTCTCGCGCCCCTCCGGGTCTGTCCTCCAGTACTACATTTGTACTACAATTCAACGAAAATCCCTCCGCCGCACGCGCCGTCGTACGTGCCGCTGTCCGCTCTCGCGCCCCTCCGGCTCTGTCCTCCAGTATACTACATTTGTACTACAAGTCAACGAAAATCCCTCCGCCGTACGCGCCGTCGTACGTGCCGCAGTCCGCTCTCGCGCCCCTTGTACTATACAATTCAACGAAAATCCCTCTGCCGTACGCGCCGTCGTACGCGCCGTCGTACGTGCCGCAGTCCGCTCTCGCCAGTACTACATTTGTACTACAATTCAACAAAAATCCCTCCGCCGCGCGCGCCGTCGTACGCGCCGTCGCGCGCGCGCCGTCGTACGTGCCGCGGTCCGCTCTCGCGCCCCTCCGGCTCTGTCCTCCAGTACTACATTTGTACTACAATTCAAGGAGAATCCCTCCGCCGTACGCGCCGTCGTACGTGCCGCAGTCCGCTCTCGCGCCCCTCCGGCTCTGTCTTCCAGTACTACATTTGTACTACAATTCAACGAAAATCCCTCCGCCGTACGCGCCGTCGTACGTGCCGCAGTCCGCTCTCGCGCCCCTCCGGCTCTGTCCTCCAATACTACATTCGCACTACAATTCAACGAAAATCCATCCGCCGCACGCGCCGTCGTACGCGCCATCGTACGTGCCGCAGTCCGCTCTCGCGCCCCTGCCGCTCTGTCCTCCAGTACTACATTTGTACTACAATTCAACGAAAATCCCTCCGCCGTACGCACCGTCGTACGCGCCGCGCCGTCGTACGTGCCGCAGTCCGCTCTCGTGCCCCTCCGGCTCTGTCCTCCAGTATACTGCATATTTGTACTACAATTCAACGAAAATCCCTCCGCCGTACGCGCCGTCGTACGCGCCGTCGTACGTGCCGCAGTCCGCTCTCGCGCCCCTCCGGGTCTGTCCTCCAGTACTACATTTGTACTACAATTCAACGAAAATCCCTCCGCCGTACGCGCCGCCGTACGCGCCGTCGTACGTGCCGTCGTACGCGCCGCAGTCCGCTCTTGTGCCCATCCCCCCCTTTCGTTTTCATCCCCGTTTCGTTTTCATCCCCGTATCGTTTTCACCCCGCGGCTCTGATCTCCCCGTTTCGTTTTCATCCCCGTTTCGTTTTCACCCCGCGGCTCTGTCCTCCCCGCTTCGTTCATTCCCGTTTCGTTTTCATCCCCGTTTCGCTTTCACCCCGCGCCGCCATTCCCCGGTATCGCGCTCTCGCGTTTTGAACCTAAACGAGAACCCAACATCCGAGATGTTTTTGGGAAAAATCAGCCGCTTTGTTCTGCCGCTTTCTTCGATTGCTTGTTTTTTTGTTTAGTGGTGCCGCCTTGCCGCCTTGCAGCCTTGCAGCCTTGCAGCCTGCTTTGCTCGAAGGCACAATGTGGCTGAGTTTCGCACGCTTCCAAAAGCTGCCGCGTCCTCAGCACCCGAGTTCTCAGGCTTCTCAGGTCCATTCAGCTCCTGATCTGATGATCATCTTGCCGAATCTTGTAGAATCGTCTTGCAGAACCTTGCAGGCGAACTGCTTGTTTGCCACGACGGTCGGCATCTACGAGGGTGACTACAGGGAGCTTATGCACCAACCAGCCCTTCTGGCGCATGACCCTCAGGAATCCAAGCAACTTGTTTGGAAGCACTTGCTCAGCCCTGCTTTCATCTCCCTCAATTAAGGCCAGTTCTGCTGTTCATCACCGTGTCGGCAATTTTGCTGATCAATCTTCTGATCGAATCTCCCTCAGTTCAACAGTTCAACAGTTTAACAGGTTCTGAGATCCTCTGAGTGTATACAGCCTGGTACCTGAGGCTCAGCTGAATTGTTCATACGACTACGTGTATGTTCCGAGCTCGGTCGGCTTTGCTTGAGTTCTGGAAAGACATCAGGGGTTTGTCCGAGGCCGATCTTTTTGTGGAGCTTAAAGGAACCGGAATCAAAATATCGCTTTTGACGGCAAAATCTCGAATACAAACTTCTGACAACCCACACGGTATCACACGATATGATTGATGCATGAGGCATGGATGAGATGGCCGCAGCTATGGTTGCGGTTATACGGTGTGGTTGGGATACAGTGACGGTTGTGGATGGAAAATGACTCATTTTGGATGAAGTATCGTTTGCGTCGTTGTGGTTTACACTTCTCTTGGTGGGTCACAGGGGGCCTTCCGCTACGCGTGAGATTGGGACTGCGGGCTTTGCCCTTCCGTTTCGCACGACCAATATAGCATTGTATGGCTTTCGTGGCCCGAATCACAAGTCAACTCAGAATCGCTATCCAGCTGTTCTCATTCTTTGCGCTCATGCCCTTCCGATTCACATCCATGGTGCCAGTATGTGCCAGTCCACAGGCACTCGACGAGTCTTTTGTGGCCGCAGCTACTTTTCACCTATAGAGTGTCCTTCCGCTAAGCCATGAAACGCAAAACCCGCGAGCAGATGGCAGTTTCACCTCACCACCTCACTTCTTTCACATTTTCTCAGGGCGACATGCTGGGGTTCGCCCGCTTGGCACGTGCGTCATTGATTGCGCACGCCTGAGGGGAATGCGTTCAAGCAAACTATGTCGCATCTTGCAAATGTGCTGCAAGCTTGTTGCAAATTTGGAGGGGCCGCGGCAATTGCGAGTAGCGCCGAGGTGGATTCCATGGCTGCATGCCCTCCTGCAAGATTCGCGAGATTTGCTATATGCCGAGTATTGCCGAGTTGTCACCACCAAGTCGCTATGCAGATGGCTGACTGTCGCAGTGGTAGAGGAATGTCTTGTTCGAAGCTTCCAGCAAGGAGCAGGCTTCTTGTAGCATCTATACCTGTTCGAAGTGCCTTGCAGGTCGCTGGTTTGCGCTTTGATCAGCTGCTGGAATTTGATGAGGGTGATGCAGGGCACTTACTTGTCCTTGCAGTGGCGAGTGCAATCTTGCCGTGCACCTATTGCAGCCATGATAGGTTAAGCTCCTGTGAAGGTGGGTCTGGGTGGAGGCATCCAGATTCGCCGGGCACTTACAAGGGCCGGCCAAGTTGTGCAGATCAATCGAGCGACTTGAAAGCAACGTGAACGAAGGTGAACCTGCAAATTTGAATCCAACATCCGATGACATTATTCTGCGATTTGGAGGCACAAGCTGGGACCCTAGCTGCCGATCCATGCCAATTCTGAAGGTGCAACGATGTGCAACCGGTCCAGCGCAGGGTGCAACGTTCTTGACTTGTCAGCCCAAGGCTCTCCCGACATGCAGTGGCCAGAGGAGGAGTTGGAAACCGATCGGTATGCAAGAATCGCCTGGCCACCTAGTGATGATCTGCGATGAGTGTCTGTTGTCAATGGCACCGCGCTGATCGAAATGTGTTGTCTGTTCTTGTTGCTGACAGAAATTCTTGCTCGCGCAGCTCAACAAGAAGCATGACAAAGCCAAGCATGGTTTCGCAGGCCTCGTGCCAAGCTTTGTAAATCTTTGCATAGTAGATCACTGTAGCATCTAGTGACATTGTGTGCCTTGCAAGTGCCCAGCAATAGCATTCGACAGATTCTGGAACGAGTGGTGGATTCACGGACAGCAGGCCAAGTGCTGAGCTTCCAGCTGCGTTCGTGTAAGCATGATGCTTGGTTTACGATGCGCTCTTCAGTTCTTTATGAGGCAAGGCAGCCAGCTTGAACCGCTCAGCTTTCGCATACTCTCGCTTGTTGCACTCTTCTCTGACACAGAAGCATTGCAGCATCAGATTCAAGCTCATGCTGCGCGCATGCGTGCATGTCCTGGACCTGTTGTCCCACTCGGGGATGCTGTGGCACAAAAAGGAGAAAGGCTGCGACGCAGCAAAGTGATGCAAAGTGTGCTTCTCTGCTTCTCTTTCTGGCTCAGGCAAGATGCAGCAGCGGAGGAGTCGAGCGCAAGCTCCACCTAGTCCCGTCCTGTCCAGGCCTTCAGGCCCAGGGCCTCCTCTCGACATCGAACCGCAAGTGCTCATAAGTCATATAAGACATATGCGTGCATTGTACCTATCCGGGTCCGTACCAGGCAAGAATTTTTTTGCTACGGGCATGTCTTTCAAAGATTCAGCAGTTTCACCCTTCTTCACACAGCGCACCTGCGCGAGAAGCCTCCAAGAGGCATCACCCAGGGCCGTGGCGAAGGAGTTAAAATGCTTGCTGAGCTCTTGCGTTGCAGACCTCAAGATGCTTCGCCCACAATTGTTGATACAATGTGGCAGGTCATCCACCAGCTTCTCTCGTTTCCACATACTCGAGCCCAAGGCGCCGCGAAGAAGTTGAATACTTGAAGCATCAAGGTGTGCTATTGGTTCGTACGTTTGCACGTGTGCTCCAGAAGCTTCTAAAGCGACAGCTAGTTCAATTGCGCAACGCGACCCGCCCCGGCCTGGGCCGCGAGTCTGGGCAGGTCAAGTCTGGGCTTTTGGGTTGGTTGTGTTGACTGTGGCTGGCCTGCAGCTTTGCGATTATGCCGAACCCGACGCGCCAATTAGGGCTTACAGGTTTATCGGGGCCGCCCAGACGTGCTCGCACAACTCCAGTGGATCCAGCTGCCCGCCAGCGCCTATTGCCTCTGAGCCCCGCCTGCGTTCGGAAGCCCTGCAGGCAGCATGGCAAAGTTCAGAATACAGTGCTGGCGAGTACCTGCTCCAGGACGTAAAGGGGGTAGCGAAATGCACCGGGCCCTGGGAGGAGGCGGTCAGTACCTAAAAGAACCTGAGAGACTGCCGGAACTCTCCTACAATCTGAGGCCTCGGCGGAGAACAGGGCGGAGCTACCTCGCATGTCACGACAGCCAGCTCCTTTGGAGCTTGCGGGAGTTTTGGTTTACAACCTTCTTGATTGGGGGCAAAGTTACGGATTTTTTTAGGAGTTTGGGGGGGGGGGCCTTAATCCCTGATTTAAGGTCACACCGGGGTGGGCGGCCCGTGAGAAAACAATGGTGGGGGGTGTTGTCTCGATTAGGTGAGGGGGGTACCCCCCCCTCTGCCCTTGAGCTCTACATACGAGACTGGCTCGCATCACATGTGCAAGAATATCTGCGTTTGTCATGCGATCGCTTGTGAGGAGCTGTGCTGATTTTAGCTGTTCGTGCCAAGCCGGAGGGACACATGTGGAAGAAAATTTACCTTGGGGACACATGAGCAAGGATATTTCCTTTGGAAACTGGACTCTCATACCTTAGGATCCTCAACATACGTACCGGCCTGCCATGTGCTGGGGTAGCTTTCGTCCGCCCTGCTCTCAAGTTGGGTTTTTGTTGGTTGTACGCCGTGGGTGTCCCTCCCTGCCAGGCAGATGCTCTCTGTCCCGTGTGCCGAGGCTGGGCTGTTGAGTGCTGAAGCTTGTTGAAGCCACGCTGAAGTCACTGCATCTGTATGTAACGTTTCTTGAACAGAGCACAGTCGAATGGCAAAGCCGGGCAAGGCTGCTCCTGGTAACAAATCGCTGCAACGGAGGTAGAGACACCAAGTTTGAGCGTGCCTGGGGATATTGGCACACATCTCAGTGGGCTACTGAGGATGCTGCATACATTGCTCGGGTTTAAGCTGGGCGGGTGTGATTGTTGGAAACAGCAGCCGTCACCAAGAATCAAGGCGCATGCTTTGTGGCTTGATGTGGCATGAAAGTTGGCGGTCAATCACTGACTGCATTTTGAGGTGAAGCTGCCTCTGAGGAGATGGAAGAGGCGCACTGAATGACTGAATGCTCTCACTATTAAGTCATGCCGCATGCTTATGCTTGGCAAAAAGGGGCTGTCTACATCCAAGCGAGCAGTGTCAGCACTGGTCAAGAGGATTGAAGCATCCAAGAGGCTTCCGGAAGCCCAGGTGGGCGTAAGCTACCATCCCTGGCGCGCAAGCAAAGCAAATGTGCCAAGCAAGCTCTGGATTCAATGATGCAATCCTCCACTATATGAAGTTCACAGAAAATCTGATAAAGCCATCGTGTCAATCCTGGCTAAGTAGTCTGCTTCTCTGGCGCGATCTTCGCGCTCGGGAGGTGTTGCTTCGCGTGCCCCTCGACTTGGATGTGCGAGAAGCTCAGTCACTCGTTGTCACAGGGTTGCACATGCCGCCCTTCCGATCATTGCCGGAAAGTTGCCTTCGAAACCTGTTGGCCGATGTACCCTTGCTTTCTTAAAAGGTTCCATTTCCCCAAGTGTAGCCAGGGGGCCTGAGTTTCTTGATAAAGTTCTTAAGAGATTTTTTCATGTTGTTACACTGCATCACACCTCCTCCACTTTTCAATCCGCAATCGTAAGTTCGGCCTCATACGCCCCACAACCACAACTCCCGCGAGAACTAGGCAGAAGTTTCTTCTTTCCTTCCTCAGAATGCCTGAAGCGAGGCAGAACTCCTGCGCAGGTCCCACTGGGGCTCTCACGTGCGAACCAGTGATGGTGAAGAAGCAGACCTCTTGCACTAGGTTCATTTTATGATAACGACGCTCGGTGGTCTAGGCATCGCAGCTTTTTCAGATGCCCGTTGACTCGTGTCGATTCAGACCAGGATGGATTGGCCTTTCACAGCCAGATGGCACGATAAGGGAAAAGAGAATCCCAGATGCAGAGGTGTAGCTGCCCTTTCATCAAGAAGCAAACAAACTTTGCCGTAGAGGCTCTAGTTCCGAACCCACCCTAAACCCTTGATTGAAAAACCCTAATTTAAATCCTAAACCCGAAACCCCAAACCCTTCGGACCAGGCCGAGCGATGTGACCTTGCGAACCCTACAGCACCTTCTTTCCAGACAGCTGGAGGAGGCGGAAGGGCCAATGGGAAAGAATGAAGAGAGAGCGTGCAGTGAAAAGAGAGTAGAAAGAGAGAATATGGGCTTCCGAACTAGGCAGAGAGTGGGTGGGGGCAAACGAGGGCAAACGTGTTCTGCCCGTGCTCACAGCCTCACAGCAGACAACCACCTCCGAGCACGATCTCGAGCACACAAGAAGCTAGGAGCTTCTGAAGAGACATGGCGAGCCACTTACGACACGAGAGAACGCAAGGACACCGGATCACATTGGTTCAAGACCCACGCTATAGGAGCTGGTCCAAGACCTGGGCGTAGACGTGTGCACTGGACAGAATGTGCCAAAATAGCCTACCACTGCTTGAGGGACACAGTCCCCTCACAGTGCACTAGATCACCCTCTTTCTCATGCATCCTCATACTCCACAGGTTGGTTGCAAGCCGCCTCATCTGGAATCGAATTTCGGGGCTGCCAGCGTGTAAGAAGCTCCTGTGCGAAGTTTTCCTCGGCATGTGATGCTGTCTAGAGGCAGGTTTTCGGAGTTGCAGAGGTCACAAACCATGCCAGCGTAGACCCCAAACAGCCGGAGGCCATGAGGACACGAAAGAGCACTCCAAGGCTCCAAAAACATGTCCAAAATAAACCAAAATACGCTAACAGTGCTTCACAGTGCTTCAAAGCACTCCAGAAGTCCAAAGACACGACGGTTTCGCGTTTGGCGCACACAGACGTCCAGAAACGATTTGGCGAACCCACACCACAAGCGACAGTCTCGCATTTTCGCGAATCCAGAAGCCAAAAGCGACGACAGTCGCCTGTGCGAGAGAGCGATCTTCGCCCAAAATGAGGGCGTGCCGCGCCGCGCCCCCCTCTCGATCTGGACCCTCACACTCTGCAATTTACAGCCTCCTAGTGTTGACGCACTGTTTGGGGGAATTTGAGTGTCAAAGGTTTTTTTTATGGAGAAAGTCCTGCACCTACGCCACGTGTGCACACAGGCAGGATTGGAAGCTCTGCGGCCTCCTGCGGTCGGGAGCCACGCTTCCCGTGCCATAGGGCCATAGGGCCGCATTCCGACATTCCATGACATTCCATTTAGGCTTAGTGCTCTGCGATGGCTATAGGCTAGGCTCCATTCAGCTGCGTGGCTCTGTTCGCTTCTCCCTCAGGCCTTGTCTTTGGCACTCAATGGACACCTCTGTGTGGATCCCAAGGCGACTGATGCCTCGGGTAGTTTGGCTGCAAGCATGACTTTCAATAGTGTCAGGCGCAGCCTCTGCGCAACTTGGTCCCGGGATCCGTGGTCTCCCTCGTCGAGGTGTGATCCCGACAAAACATCGGAGCTGGAGTAGTAAACGTCATGGAGAGAGCAGCTTTGCTTCTTTCTTGTGCAGGACTTGGGAGAAGCTCAGGAGGCGGGATGGGTCATGCAGTCGCCAGAGACAAGTTTCAGGACGCTGTTGTGACATGCGTATGGTGTGTATGGTCCATGAGCCACTAGAAGTTAGCCTAATCACCAGAGAACTACCCAATGCGGTGAGCCTCGAGAAGCCGAGTTTTTACAGCAGCTCAGGTGGCCCGGCTTGGCTTGTGCCTGAATGCCGTGCAGCTGCTGCAGGCGTGAGTTGTGTGCTGTGTCGGGAGTAATATGCCAAAAACGTGCCAAGTCTTCGAGGTACAGTTTCCCCCAGCTTTGTCACCCGGTGGACAAGGTCCACAAGGCTTCGTCGTCTACAGATGTCTACACATGTCTACAGGCTGTAGCAGCCGAGTGCAGCCGGATGTTGGCGCAGTGAAGCTTCCAGGTTTTCACAAGAAGGCGCCTGATGAGGCCATTTGTGCAATGTTTCTAATATTTGGAGCGAGGCTTTGCTCAAGCCAGCACTTGAAGCACGCAAGGTCCTCGCAGCAATCACGGGATCAAGCGGTGTGCAAACCTGCCAAGCCTGCTGCTCTGGTGCAGGTTCTGCGAGAGAAGCGACAACGCCTCTACAAAACGCAGCCATGCGCGAATTATGCCGTGGAACCTCAGCAGCAGAGATGAGTTCTTGACGAGTTCTTGCACTACACAGACTATACACGGCAATTTTATGCTGCTGCAGGGGCATTGTGCTTTCGGCCACAAGTGCCACTTTGCACATGGAGAACATGAGCTCCGTCTTCCTGGCAAAGAAGGCCAACGGACAGAGATCAGAGCAGCTGTAGTGACGATAGCGATGCACTCCACAGAATTACTCCCTTCGTTTTTTTCTAGTTTTTTGTTTTCTCTCTGTCCCTCTCTGTTCCGAAGGCAATCCCAGTACGCTGATTTCGAAATGGGATTCTGCAAACGGTGATGGCTGGGAAGAGAGGCGCAGAGCACTAAGCGCCGCAGCTGGCCGCATGCTACTGCCATCTACTGCCTGTGACATCCTAAGGCCCTATAAGGCCCTAAGGCAACCCTAGGCTGATCTAGGCGGGGGGCGTCGCAGGAGCCAGCGGTCCGAAGATGGCTGGAAGTGGGAGGATGCTTGGTGGAGGCGGAGCGCGGTTCCTGCAGCTGGCAGTGAGAAAAGAAGCCGAGATGCCCTCTGCTGATCGTGCCTCCATGTTGCTGTTCCTCCTCAGGCGTGGTGAACAGGACGGGTGTCGGTTTCAGATGCCGTTCAGTTCGTGCTACCGTGCGCAGTACGAAGATATGTGAGTTGATCCGTGTCTTGTCCGTAAGACGCTTGCACAGACTTGCAGCTGCAGTCTAGGACTGGCAGCAACATCATCGAAATGATTGGTCTTGGTCTGTTCAAGGCTCAGTGTCTCAAGCGCAGGCGCTGCAGAAAGCCGCAACCGTGCATGCACATGCATTGATTCCAAAAGGCTTCTCGATGGGACTGGTCCAGATCGGAGGCCGGGCATTGAAAGACTCGTTGTTTTAGTTGTTACGGTTCTGTCATCGGTTGTCATATTTGAGTGATGCGCAATGTGCTGTGCCATGTGCACGTGTCAGTGTGCGAGGCGAGTGACTGGTGGGAAGGCAGGGGGTTGCAAGCCACATCGGTGCAGAACAAGAGTCGTCGCGGCGGTATCAAGCCAACATGCCCTCAGATACAAGCTGGCAGAAGCCGGAGTGGCAGAAGCCGGATTGGCAAGACGATCGATGGGAGGGCGATGTTGACGCTGGGAGCGGCGGAAGCGATGCGGGTGCCGTGACGAGCGGCAAGGTGAGCTCTAGCCTTGCAGTCTTGTGCAGACATGTGCAGACCCTTGAACTTGTCCATCTGTGCAGGGCAGATCCACAAGCCGAGCAAAGTCCAAGGAGCCCGTCATCTAGTGGACACAATGTCTAGCAATGTCTAGCAATGTCTAGCAGCTAGCACGCTGCTCCTATCTGCTCCTCCATCTGCATGGATCTTCTTTGCAGGGCAAGGCAGATGCTCCGCAGGGCTCCTAGCTGTCCTAGCTGTCCGCGAGTGGCAAATAGTGGCAATGCTTGCGTATCGTATGTCATCGTGCTCTCCGCAGAACAGAATTTGGGCAGGCGAGTCAAGGCCGACAGCGAGGTGCGACTTGCTTGTGAGACCTGGTACAGAAGCGAGAGGAGTAATAGGCAATCATGGCAACTTCGGCATCTCTGCATCCTTTGCAGGAGCCTCGGCAGGAGCCTAAGCAGGAGCCTCGGCAGGAACCTCGAGGAGACGCGGTGACGCTTCGCCAAGTGGAATCCAAAGCCAGACGCTCACGAGGTGCACTTTGTGGATCTTTGTGGAGCCATGCGGCATCTCACCATATCTCACATATCTCACCCTTTTTCTCGCTATTTCTGCTCGCCCTGCTGATCAATGCTCATCATTGCTCATCGTTGCTCACTAGCATTCACTAGTCGATGGATGGACCCTTCATCTCCTTGGTTCTTGTGCAGGCCGCGCAGGCAGTCATCGGCACAAGCGAGAAGACTCGCACACAAGGAAGATGGAGCCTCGCCAAGGCGCCCAAGTCACGAAAGCTGGCCCCGGGAAGTAGGGGAGTCTCTTGCCAAGCGTCAGGTTGAAGAGGGGTGTGGGGAGGGGGCCAGCGCTGTCCTTGGGGCCAGGCCCCACCGGGTTTCGATGTCTAAGCCTAGGTGTTTTCAGGTCTTAGTCGTGCCCGGTCCGCCTGCCTCAGCTCCCATGGCGCATAGGCGAAGCCCTTGCCTCATAATGCCTGTCCAAGAGCAGCGTCGAAGCCACGGTACTACATCTCAAACGGTGAACTCTCACTGCTCGTGGCCCAAGCAAGCAGCGAAAGTATGCGTTGACTTGGCTGCTGCCTCTCCTTTGTTCGTGCTGCTCTGCACTCTAGCTTTCCAACGGTCTTGTGGTTTCATCAGTAACGTGCATTCACAAATTCTAATGCAGCAGGGTAGAGGTGCCTGCCGAACGAAGAGGCTGCTAATGATAAACCAAAAGCTTGTAATGCAGCAAAGCTGAACCGTGCTGGACAACAACGCTGTTTTGCAGGCCGCTCTCGAAGCCGTGCAAGGGAAAGGCCAGAAAGGCCAGACTTCTTCTGACCCGGATGCAGGGATTGACAAGCCATGACAAGCCTGTGCCAGGGATCGGCACGGCCGGCGGGGGAGGCAACGCGGCTCTTGTATGATTTTGCGGGCACTGTTTGCCATGCTTGCGGGTCCTTTTCAGGTCTCCCTCACAAAGGGGTTCCGGCGCCAAGGCCTGCATGCTGAGCTGCCGGGTTTTGCGCTTCCGCCGCAGTGACCCAAAGAGCCTCTGGGTTGAGGCTCTACGGTCTCTCAGATCCCGGAGCCGACGGAGTCGGAAGCATCGAAGCCGAGCTCGAAGACACTGAGCGGCGGCCAGAGTGCTCGAGGCCAAAAGAATCGCAAGAGTATCGCAAGCGGCCGCGATCTCTGCCAAGAGGAGACAATAGCACTTTCCGTCGGGTTTTGGGCCCTAGGCAAGCATAGACAGTTGCTGCTTCGAAGCGTGAAAGTAAAGTTGCTTTGACCACGGCGTGTTCTGTTACCCATCACTCGTCAACCTTCAGCGGGTGCTGCGAGCCACAAGCAACACTGTATCGACTGTATCGTCTTCTTTTCGGGTGCTCGAGCTTTTCGCAGCTCTTTCGGTTCATGACGAGAACAAGCGTGCACGCGAGGTTTTTTTGTGTCCGGCTGTGGCCAGGAGGCTCCCGAAGACATCGTTCAAGGAAGATACGGGTCCAGCATGTGTCACTAATAGCGAAGCCAGACAGCAACCGCATTGATCCCGGTATCGAAGCATTCGCAGAGCTATGGGGTCGAGCAGTTCTGCTCCAAGACAGGAAGCGAGGGCACCGCAGTAACTCTCGGCGCAGGTTAGCACCTGGTGGTTTTGTAGCCTTGGTGGTTTTGTAGCCTTTTGGGCCTCTGGGACTAAGACCTAGCGGCTCTAGCGTTGTATTATGACTTGGGCATGTTGCTGCTAAGGCCGGCGCCTGCCCAGCTGTCGCTACCCATTCAGAACCGACGGACCCGCGCTGTCACGCTGAGCGTAGAGCCTCGAGAAGGTGCAGCTGAGGTGGCTGAGGTGGGCCGTGGCAGCGGTGTGTGCCTGCCGATCAAGAACCGCCGCACTCGCGGTGTCATCTTGGAGGCAGCTGAGTTCAATCCGGACAGATTGGCTCCGCCTGGTTTAAATATTGGCAGGAGCCAAGATTCTGGGACCGGCGACATGACACGACGAGCAGTTCACAACCCTGTTGGATATGCTTTCGCTCCTGACTCCCCCTCTGCATTGGTACCTAGACTACCAAGTTCTCCAGCAGACACTTCATCTGCGAGAACGTCTTCTGTTCCAATTTCGCCATCGGTAATGTCGCGCAACTCGAGGGTGCACTTTGCTGCGTCTCCTGCTTCGGTGGTAGAGATCACTCCGTACAGTTGGACGTCACGCTCCTCAGCGTTTTCTCCGACGTCGCCAACGTTCGCTGCAGACTCTTCACCGACATCACTCAATGCCCCGCAGACCAGCCAAGGTGCAGTACTAGACATTCTAATGAAATTCTAATGTGTTTTTGTGTGCCTTGACAGAATCACGGATGTCATGTCTTGACATGTCATCGCAGGCTCCTGAAGGTTGTTGCTGCGAGGAGCTGTGGCTCCTCACGTGAACAGAGTTGACAAACAGATACTCCTTACATGCCCAGAGCAACTTTTGCCCTTCCATGTCCCACCATGTCCTAGCCTGCTAGAGTATCTCAGCATGATCAGAGCCCCGCAATACACTGGGAGAGCGAACACGACACAAACAAGCATTCCAATCCTTTTGGCAGCACCGGAAAAGGCGATCGGTGCAAATCAAACTACAGCCAAGCGGCGCTAAACGAGTTTCAGGGCAGCCTTGTTGTTTTTGGCGAGCATGATGCGATCAGTATCTGATCTGCTGTACAACTACGATGGTCATGGAGTCATGCCCATGTTAGCTAGAAGATTTTCTCAGCTTCATTGCTTGACATCTCTGTCCGAGTGTTTAGGCGTCTACGGCGGAACCTTGCAGCATGCGCAGCAAGCGCAGCATGTGCAGCATGCGCAGCTTGCGCAGCATGCGCCTCATGCGCAGCATGCTGTGGTTATTCCTGCAGTGCAGTATGTGCAGCACTATGCCTGGACAGCGCCGTCAGTGGCGCCCTCGGTGGCGGCTTCGGCGCCGGTTCCAGCGCTGCCAGTCGTGTCTGCACCACCTTTGCCTCTGGCAAGCGCGGTGCCCGCAAACATTGCCGTGTCTTTGCCCATATCTTTGCCAAAGCCAGTTGCACCACCTGCTGCAGTACCTCTTTCGCAGCAAGCAAGTTTCAAGTGTTTTTTTTTGGACGAATAGCATACTTGTCAGGCATAAGCAGCCTGCTAGCAGCGCTTAAAGTCTTCATGTAAGTGCTCCATCTGGGAGGGCGTTGCCACAAAGGCGCGTTGGCATAGTGCGCACAAAGTCCAGTTGAGGCTGCGTGGCGTCATGGATAGCGGAGGCGGAGGCATGGCCATGGAAAGGCACTGCGTGGCAAGGTGTGGTAATGGTTTGTAGACTGTTTGTAGCAAGGCAAACTCGCAACTGAGTTTCCTGAGTTAACATACGGCTGCCCGCGAGTGTGGAGTCTTCTCTGACGCCACTTCTTGATTACTCATACTTGCACGTGACTGCGCATTGTGGTCCCTTGCCTGAATGAGGTAGGTGTTTCACCCCAGCCTGGCAGCTAGTATATCAAGTATATCGTTTAGAGTGCACCAATGCCTTCGCGAATGTGGATTCACATGTCGCTTGAGTGCCTGATCCCCGAGGGATCCATTTCACCTCTTCAGCCACAGATAAAGGCTGCCAGCCTACAACTCCTCCAGTTCTATCTGGAAAAGCGACAGTGACAGCCTAGAACATGTACTGTGTCCGCTACAGCTCTTTGACTCCGACCTTTGTGCCTTCTAGTGCAACTGATTGTAACTGACGGTGATCCTTTTGAAGGGCACCGTGGCAAGACTTAGATCTGCAAGCATTGGCCCGCCGCACTCTTTGCTCCTAGACTCGTAGATGACGCAGACACTCAGCGGACGCTGAGAAGCTGATCGCGGCAATGGATTACTATGCGCAGGGTGCTGCCTATGTGGGTCCTGGTCGCATGCAGGCAATGCCGCAGGCTCGCAGGGTGGCTTATATTCGGAATCGTGTCACATAATGCCATATCAATCTGCTTGCAACGCGCTGCATTCCCTGGATGCACCCAAATGAGAGAAGGGTCGCTTGCAACATCTGCAAATCGTCGCTTGTAACATCTGCGAATCGTTACTTGTGACATCTCATGTTTCGGGACTCCGAAAGCAGTGAAAACTGCTGTGTTTTTTCACTCTCCTGAAACCCTACGCCCCAAACCCTAGACCTTGTGCTCTCAACCCCAAGCTCTGAACCCTAAACCCGAAGCTGCGCTCCCGCTCGAGGCCCGCCCTCCAAATCACTTGTAACATCTGCTTTTTGTTGCACCGGGCAGAAAGGTGCAGATGTTACAAGTGATTTGGCGAGCAGGCCTCGAGCGGGAGCGCCGTTTCCAAATCGCAGATGTCACAAGCAGGAGGCAGTACTTGTACTAGCTTGTAGTTCAAGTGACGATTCTGAGATGTTACAAGTGAGCCACCTCTTGCTCACATCCGTAGCTCGCAGCAGATGCGCAGTCCGAGCGAGGTCCAGCAGCAGCTTGCCGCGCAGCCGGCAAACGATGAAGTCGTCGCCAGTCTGGTGCAGGAATGGCAAGAGTCAATGTATATCTGGTCATCCGCTCCATGGACCCCCGCTCACACCCCCCATGGTCTAGGACCCCTTTCCCGCGCCCCCTCCCCTGTGATGTGGTTGTGGGTTGGGTTTAGGACTTAGTCCAGGCTAGGCTTTTTCGAGTTTTGCGGTGTAGGTTTCCCCCTCTCCGCCCCGCTGTGGTATGGCCGTGGGTAAGTTTTAGGGTTTGGGGCTTTCGGGTTTGGGTGTCAGGGTCTCAGGAATCCAGGTACTCCCCCCTCCTGGGGCGGTTTTCGGGTCAGGTTTAAAGCTCTGGCATCGGTTTTTGGGTTTTATGCTGAGGGTTTCAGAGCCTAGGGCTTTTCGGCTCAGTTTTGGTTGCAGGTTTAGGGTTGTTACGCAGGGCTTGGCTTGGGGCTTGCGGCTTTGGGTCCAACTCTGGCCCAAACCCGGCCCAAAGACCCTCAGACCGACCGCTCCTCCCCCCCCCGGCCCCTACCGGACCATAGTTTTTTTTCTCTTGTCCTGCAGAGCGTTGTGCACATGAGTCGTCTGCACGGGAGCCACTGTGAACTGCAAGCAAAGCCGAGGCTGCACGCACCCGTCCAGTGGACGTGCGAGCGGAAACCGCAGAAAACCAAAGCCAGCCCAGCCAAGCCATTCTCGAAGGCGCCATCAATCAGTCCGGTAAAGCCGGTCAGAAGGAGTGTTGGCAGCATGCGCTAACGCAACTTCTCCAAAATATGGTCCCTGTTGTGTTGGGTGACTCGGAAGGACGCGTCGTATTCCGTAGAAATACCAGCCACGGCGAGCCCGCCCTTCTGTTTCTGTTCTCGTTACAACCATTCCATTCAGAACAAAATCGCAACCACACCCACGTCGCCCCCCTCCCTCTGCAAAAGGGGTTGATGCGCACCCCGCACGTTTTGAGTCAATCACACGCGTTCACAAGCTCCTGCATGCAACGGTACTGAGAATTCTGGCCGCCTGGCCGGGTCGGGTGAAGGGCACGTGTGTCGATTTGTACGGGGCACCCTTGGCCGCTTCAGTCTGGCTGGCGTTGCAGTTTCTGATAAGACATTGTCGATTTTCCTTCAGCAGGCAGGCCTCCAACTAACTGTGGTTCCTTGAGCCGACACTTGCAGGACTTGCAGAAGGGCGACGAGCGCGAGACGGCATTGCTAGAGCTGTCAAAGCGCAGAGAACAGCTGCAAGACCTTGCGTTTGGGCCCTGTCATTTGGTGTCACGTGACGTGAGAGTCGGTCAGAACGTGTTCCATGGCTGGACCAGAGGCCAATCCTGTGGCATTCATTCGGGACAATCGTGGCGCTCATTCAGGACGATCCGGAGAACTGCATGCGCTGCTTGTTGTAGAGTTTTTTGTGCTGATTGCAAGCTTTGTGGTTCTGAAGCCATGGTGAGAACGGTTCCGCTTCAAAGCCAGTACCAGTAGCAGCAGCAATACAAGAATTTTTGTCAGCTAGATTCTCTCTTTGTCGAGTGCAGTTACTGTCAGTTGCCGTTGCAGGAAATAGTACAGATTTATCCGCAGCTGGCGCAGCCGCCCACGTTGACAGCAACTGCATCCAACCGCGTCTGCAACTCGTTGGCCTTGTTGCAATGCGTGGCGCCCTTAGAGCCCTTAGAGGTCGCACATGGCCGCGCTGTGTGGCCAATTAGCGGTGATGTGCCTCGAGACTCAGGTTGCCTCCCATCCAGAGACGCGGCCTTTGTTTCTGAAGGCCGAGTACTGTTAGCGGCTAACTAGCTCTTTCGGCAGAAAATTCGCCTGAGCAAACGAGAGCCCTGCTTGTGAACAGTCAAGCTGGCAGCATTGGCAGCATGACCTGAAAGGCAAGGGTGAGCGTATCACTGCCCCGACTTGCAATAGCGTTCGTTTCAGTAGGCGCAGATTCCGCTGCTGCTGTACCCATTCCTGAACACGTCCAGCACGGTGGCCCTGCTCGCTTTCGATGCTGCGTGGTAGTTGGCACACTGTCGACCACGCAGCCGAATGCAGGAGAGGCCCTTTGAGTACCTTCGACTGACGTCGCTCGGGGTGATCGGCGCGTTGGTGAAGGTGCAATTATTGGTTTGGCTAGAGCTGCATGCTTGGCACAAGCTTGCCGAATCTAGGTTGATGATCAAGAAGTCATCGTCTTCTTGCTCAACACTGAGATCATTCCGCTTTGCGAGCTTCTCAGACCTCCTGTTTAGCCCACTGTGATGAGCGGGCTTGCAGCGTTCCTAAGTTCGGGTGCATAGGACTTTTCACGAAAGCTGGCTCCTTTCAAGCTTGCGCGAGTTTTGTTTACAGCTTTCTTGTTTTGGGTCAAATTGTGCAGGTTGGGGGCGAGGTGGGGTTGGGGTGGGGGGGTGTTGATGAGGTGAGGTGAGGGGGGGCGGGGGCGGGGTTCCTCCGCCACCCCCTGCCGGCTCTCCCCTTGAAGCCGGCCCCTTCCCCTCAACATCTTCAGCTTATGCTGTCATTGACGTACGATATTGGCTCGCATTTCTGAGCTTGCAGATCCTAATTCCTCTATCAGCGTGCAATGATGTTTTTGTTGTGCCTGCCAAGCCGCAGCGTGCAAGAATCCTGACAGAAGCCGTGATGATTTTCGCTGTTCGTGTCACGCCGTCGGGTCATGCATGGAAGGATAATAACCTTGGAAGTCGCATGGACACATGTGCGATTTAAAAGCTGGACAGACAAACCTCAAGATACGCATACAGACAGCCCTGCTGCGGGGACCTAGCTTTCGTCCGCCCGGCTCTCAAGTTGATTACAAGAAGTCTTGACATGGAGATGCTGCCATTCAGCAGCGGATGCTGAAGCCTTTTTTTGTCAACAGATGCTCTGATCGTCCTCTGCCTCGACTCTTCGTGCGGTTCGCTGCTTTCTGCAGGCCTGAGAATCATGGAGAGTGGCAGCGAGCTTTCCAAGACGGCCACGCAGCTCAGTGGCTTCTGCACAACCATAGTAAACCATGTAAGTGATGTAAATGGGGCACCCATGTCACCATATCTGGATTGCCAGGTTGCTACATTTATCGTGCAGAAGCTCCTTCTTGATGATTCAGCCATGAGCCTGACTTTAGCACATGCTTGCACGATCTGGCAAAACATGATTGTTGTTCTGACTACAAAGCTCACATGTGACCACAATGGAGGCGACAATGTTGTAGATTACCTATGATGAACTGGCCTCACGGCTCCGGGTTCGATGCTAGGAACACAACAGACCCTGGGTTGCTGTTGTTGGCTGATTCCACCTGAAGGAATGTTTTTGCAGCCGGGGGGACTTCTCCTCATACTTGCGGGAGGGGGGGGGGTTCCCGAGTTTTCAGCCATGATTTGTGCAATGTTTTTGAAACGTCTTTTGGGGTGAAGCCTCACTGGACATTGACGTTTTGATGCAGTCGCTAACGTTATGCTTGCTGCAACTGAAAACTGCGAAGCTATTTAAATGAATTCTATATACTTTTGGGACATGTACAAAACCTTTTGTGACACCGTGCAAGCTTGCTTTCAAGAACAACATACCATCCAGGGAAATTGCTCGAAAACCATGCGACTCCTGTCGAAGGCGAAATCCATCATGCAAGCATTACGTTGTGCATTGCTCGTGTGCAACTATTGATACGCACGAGTGAGGGATGCGATCGTAGCACTGCGCCCAGGGCCTGTACTACGTTTGCGAATCTGCGCATCGCTTCTATGCGGTACATAGCTGAGCGTGTGCCGTTAAACTGCCGCTCTTGCGTGGTGCACTGAGCTTGCAGTCAAGATCAGGTTGCAAACGTGCTTTCCAAGATGGTGCCTCTCCTGAAGGATTCGATTTGAGTACAGATTAGTACAGACGTTAAGAGTTTCAGATTGGTCTTGTGTTATTTGGATCTGAGGTGGGCGTTTTGGTGCAAAGCCCTTCGATACGCCTGCTAAAGGCATTGTCTTGTCTTGCACTGCACCCAGGGTCAGTGGCTCTTAGTGAAGCCCTGTGCAGCATGTGGTGCGGTGCTACTTGCGCCTCACTGATGACGCTCGAGCCAGAGAGGTCCGGATCTGGAAGTTCACAGGATGAGTCTCGCATGCGTGGTAACATGCAGTGGCATATAGTACGACTCAGTACGAGTAGCATTTAACCTAGCCAAGAGTTGTTCATGCCTTCGCCATTTCGCCATGCGAGCTGGACATGCCTTCGCCAACGCTTGTCACTAATGCTCTCCCTCTGATATGAAGCTTGTGCAATCTTGTGGTGCATATCATCGAGAAGTTACTGCGGCAGGTCGTTGCGAAAGTTGTTTTTCAATGGCTGACGTCGTGTTTCGTTTCAACAACCGAAACTGCGGCTGGGGGATAACTCCCCCAACAGCTGGTGTTGTTTGTCCGTTTGTTTCCTCACATCTCTCACAAGCAGCGTTTGTGTGTGTAGTTTGGCGCCGCCCTCAGAAGTAGGAGATGATTGCTCTCATAACGGGAGCACGACCAACAGTAGAGAGCTCTCTCTCTCTCTCTCTCTCTTTCTCTCCAGTGTCCTGAAAACGGTATCAAAGCTTCGGGAGAAGAGGGGACTCCTAGCAGGCACATTGGCCAAGAGTCCGGCCACACACAAATTCGGTTGCACCTAGACCTCCGCCCTCAAGAGATGTCAGAGCATGCCGGGCCACACTTGCAAAATTTACACACAACCCCTTGCAAGCAAATCCATTGCTCTCAACTCTCTGCAAGACGGCTGAGAAGCCTTGTCTAGAAACGTTTCAGCGACAAGTTGCTGCAGCCTGCCTGATGGGAGCCTTTGTGCATTGACCACTCTGTGGAAAGGTGCTTAGGCAGTGCCTGCCTGAGGGCCTGCAGTCGGATCCGTCGCTGAAGGCGCGATTCTGCATGAGTGATGCATCTGCCGATCCATCTGCATTCTGGTGCCAGCGCAGGTATTACCATACAGGATTTACAGGGCTAAATGTTAACGTCGGCGTTGCCCATGTCTGCCCTGCTGCAGCGCCTGCCGCACTCCATCAGCCAAAGCCTGGAAGAGGACATGTATCTGTTTCTGGCATAGTGCACGTATCTGTGTGAGAATCATCTTCGTGGGAGCTTGTGAAACTTACATGTGAGGATCCGACGACCAAGCGCTGGCTTGGCCAGCTGCTGACGAATCTAAACTATCGATAAAACAGGACAGAGAGGTTTGAATGATTTGAATGGGTTTCACGAGCGAATTTGATGCTGGAAGACCCTGGCAGCGTCCACAATCACTCTGCAGGTTCGATGTCGAGTTTGTGCAGAGGTTTAGGCTTGCTGGCAGCGCTGATGCGAGCGGGGCCGCAGTCTTCGCAGCCTGTCTGACATCCAGCATTGGACTCTCTTAAGAAGCTGCCATGCTGGGACACTTCGGGAGCCGAAATCCACTAGCATCAACACATGTGGCACATGCCTCCTCAGTTGGGTACTAGATTTGCCTTGACAAAAGCGGTCGTTCTTTGCTCCCAACTGGGCTGCTTGTGGATGGCGTGCTCAGATCGGCATGTGGAAGCAGCTTCCTTCGGTGCCGTTAAAAAGGGAGGATTGCCATGGTGAAGGACCATCGGCCTTGTTCTCAGCTCACTCAGCTTGTTCAGTTGCACAGCTCCAGGTTTGAAAGATTTGTTGATCAGAGCTGGAAAATTGCGGTGGAGACTTGCAAGCTGCAGCTGCAGTGCCCTAGAGACATGCATATGACCATGGCAGCAAGTCGGACAGCAACTGCAGATTCCCTGCCTGCACAAGCGTACCTGGACAACTTGATGTGGGGCCAGAGGCATGTTGGTAGAAGCATGTTTCAGTCCTGTTCAAGACACTGCTGGTACACGTACGACAAGCAGGACCTTACAAAATGAGTAGAACGAGCCGCCTGAATGTATGCTGACTCAATGGCTGTCACAGGTCTGGAACTTAAAGCCCTGCCCACAACCGCCTGAGGGTGTAGTCCTTGCAGGATTTCATGTTGTGATGGCGAGCGGGTGAGAGAATCTCGCACGGCTGCTGCCTGTTTTGCCATTCTCCCAATGGGGTGTGAGGGGGAGGGGGGGTGCTGCCGGCAAAGTAATTACAAAAGCGGGCTACGGCCGAAAGCTTACGATGCATGAACATTTGACTGAAACACGGAGTTGTTGTGTGGGACCCTATATAAGCTGTTGAGAAGCCAGCAAGCTTGACTGAATGATGTAAAGTGATTAATGAAGGAGGATATTAGAAGTGGTTTCTACACGCACAAACATAGCAAGGCCTTGCCCTCTCTCTCTCTCTCTCTCTCTCTCTCTCTCTCTAATGCCAAGTGATGCTGGAAGGAGTGGGCTTCCGGAGGTGGCGTCACCTTGGTAGTGAGCGAACTCGGAGGAGATTGGCTCCTTGGACCAGCTAAATCGAGAGTTTTTGTGACTTTGTGCGTCGCGTGTCTGAATCCGTGTGTGCAGCAAGGTGCTGGGATTCACATGGTGCGCTCTCGCACACCTGTGGCACAGCCAGAGATGTGAGAAAGGAACTTACAGCACGTGCGACAATGCCACCAGCACAACGATGCATGGTTTGGGGCAACCCACAGGTCTTTCGCTTTCGGTCCTGCAGCACCACCGACCTCCGCTCCTGAAGTTGGGTACTCGGCCACATAGCAAAGCTCAAGCACCTTAGACGTCGATGGACTACGTCATGAATCATAACCGAGATGTCTCCGTGTTGTAGTCAAGCAAGGAAGTGGATGGTGCGGACGTGTTGCTGTTGGGACGAGGTGCCTTTGGGGTCATAAACATCACAAGCCCTGTTGTAGAGAACTATCCGCAGTTAAAGTTCAGATTTTGATTCGCTCTCCTGTTCTGCTTTCCTGAGTTTTCTCATGAGAAAAGAGAGAGAGAGAGAGAGAGAGAGAGAGATAGAGAGGCGATCTGCGACAGAAACCCCACCCCAGCTGAGCCGCGAACACCGCGGCTGACCCGCATGACACTGGGGACTGGCGCGCCCTCCGGGGCAGCTCTCCCTTCGGGGGGGGCTAAGCGTGCAGAGAGAGAGAGAGAGAGAGAGAGGCGATCTGTTGGCGATGTGAGTAGGTATCCATGCACGAACTTTTTGAGGTTTCGTGTTTCGTCTCCACCGCGTCCGCTGCTCTGTAGTATGGTATGCTGTGTGTGCCCACTCTCTGTGCTCTTTTGTGTAGCCCTAAGGGCCCTTGTTCTGTGAAGCCCTCAAGGCCCTAGGGCACCCCGCTGTCCCTATTGAAGTTCCCTACCGATTCCTACCCCATGAGGCCCTAACACTCGCCAGCACAAGGAAGGAGAGCAGCACATACGGCAGTATAGCCATGATTTTGCGTTACACTCTGATCTCCAGTCCCTCCGCTTTTGAGTGTTGTTCTTCAGTATGGACCGATGTGGGTTTTCGGAGTTTGAAAGAAAGGGGGCGGCTGCGAACAACTTTGCATATCCCTCCTGGCAGAATCCTGGTGCTTCAACCGATGGCGGGCAGAGACTGATGATGTCCGCGGCGGAGCGTCCACTGCACTATTGAAGGCATCGGGCTTTCTGGTGGTGTCCAGTAAATCTCCGTGTTTATCTCCCTTGCAAGCTGCAGGGCTTAACAGACGCCAGTGGAAATGCTGAACCTTGCTTGCAGAAGGGGTTAACGGGTTGAGCGGGCTGACCGGGTTAAGAGGGCTCACACATCTCACACCTGTGTTGCAGATGGTTGCAGCTTATCTCTCCAAAGGCATCCTGAGCCTGAGGAATTCTGCGGCGAGCTGTCGTCTGTGCAGGATCCCTTTGCCAGTGTCTCCCTGCAGGCTCGATGACAACATTTGACAAAACCTTGCTGAACTGCGTTCTATACCTCTAGTAACTCTAGTAAAGGAACTGTGAAGGATTGGCAAGTGATTCAGGTCGCAGCGCTGCCTGAGTCACTCTCGGAGATGAAAGGCTTGGTTCTGGACATAGCCGAGGCGACATGCGGACAGTAATGACGGTAGGTAGGTGAATGCTCTTGTCAGTGTGGCTGACAAGGCAGACGGGTCAGAGTATGCCGCCGGATGCCAAGCAATAGCTGTAGTGCTCGTATCCCGTGACCATGAAGTCTACCCAGCATGAGGTCGGATTGCGGATGCTGGGTGCGCCTGCTGGTATTCAGCATGCCTTCGTGTGTGGACCTCTGCTTCACCTGCCAATCGCTGCCATTCCACGTCTTTTTCAGCAGAGGTTTACAGCCGAAGTGGGTCGTCTGGAGATGTACTTTCGGGACTTCCGGCCTCTCCGTCTACCATTCAGAGGGCGCCATGGAGCAAACGATGTCGCCATGACGTGGGTTTCGATGCCAGGCCAATGATACAGGGGCAACCACAGCCCGAAGACAAAACTCGCTTGGTCTTGGAGCGCGTGGGGGCCTCAAGTGACTTCGGTTTTTGCACTTAGTTGCACTTGGCCCGATCTACGGGATGTGACAGAACAGGTCTCGGTTTGTTGAAGATGCCTGCAGTATTGGCAGGTAGAGTCAATTACGATCCAAAAGCGAGGAAGCCACAAGGCTTCCGAAGGGTATTGCGCTTAATGAATGGCGCTTGCCTTGCCAGCGATTGGGCATTTGGACAGATGTTCAGAGCAATACCATCAGGTCCTTTTCACTAGTGCTGCGGAGCGTGTGCGGCCAAGGGGCAGAATTGGAGCGAGCTCGTCTTCTAGGTCTTCATGCTGTTGTCTGTAGGTGCGTGCTGAACAGTCACCTAGGTTCATGGAATTCCAGGGCGTGAACAGCCGCCGTACACCAGCTTGGAAGAAGTATTCAAACCTGTCAATGATGCTTCCAATGCTGACGTGTGCCATAGTGACCCTCTTTGCTGTTGCCCAGGCCCCCGCCGTCTGCACGCAAAACAAAGTGGACATGCAAAGCGTGCGGTCCGACGCTCATCTCAAGTGCTGCACCGATACTGTCACGTTGGTGTCTAAAGTGCGCAGATTGTTTCAGAAAATATCATGCGCCAGGGACAATGAACTTCGACTCGTCCAGTACCTGCACGTAAAGGGCTTAGCAAGCACCATGCCTTCCACTGTCGAATTGCGATGGAGCGGCTGATGTCTGTTGAACGTGACATTGGGATGGAGAGGGAGTGTTCCTTTGCTTTTTGCCTATGCTGCCCCATGTTATCCTTTCAAGCAGCTGCTTCCAGGAGTCCAGGTGCAGAAGGAATAGTAACAACTAGATGATCGCGGAAGGTCCGTATTTGCAGGCACTTGAATACCAGGTTACTCAGGGCGACTAAGTCTGCGGAAGGGTGTACAGTAGGGTTCTGATACTCGTCGAAACATACATGCCTGGTGTGCGCATGGCTATGTATGCATGCCATCCTATGGAAAAGAGCTTTCAGGTCTTCCGCTCTCTTAGCATGCTGGGACCATGGCCTCTTTCGATTTTGAGGCCTCACACGCGCCCAGCAGATAGTCTGATAGCTCTGGGATTTCTGGGTAGTGGACTCGCCGAAGTCACCCAGGATCGGCCAATGAAAAGTTTTTTCCGAAGAAAAGATCACCGCAAAGAGTCGAATGTGCGGGCTGAGCTATTCAATATTCAGTTCATTACTTCGGGCCAGAGAGCGAAAGTTTGAGTGTCGGGGAGATAACGGGACCTGGGCCGCAAACATTGCGGTGCTTGTATGTTGAGCGTTCTTTGTGTTAGGTTTGTATTGTGTGCGTAATGCCAAGGCGCTGTGGAGAGGGTCGCTATGCTGAGGAGGCATGAGCAACTCAAGCATCCTACCGTCAAATGTCCAAGCATCAAGTTTCCTGACGTGAGCGATGTACAATAACATCCGCAGGAACGCGCTGCCAGCGCTGCGGCTGAGGCCGCGCGAAAGCAGTCCCAGAACTCAGCACGCAGCACTAGTTTGCAGATGGAGAAGGGCAACACGAGTGCAATGCGCGTTGAGGCAGGTGAAGTGGGAGTGCAGCGCATGTGGGCAGATGAATTTCGCATCAGCCGGTATCCTAGCGGCTCATCTCACAACTATAGGAACACAAAGAAATATTTTGCAAGAGTGCTGGTTGATGCCGGTTATCAAGGCCGGTGAGTGCTTCAAATGTGGAGCGCCTCGAGGACGCTACTGGGTAGCCTGTGCTGTACCACTACGGTGCCGCTACGGTGTCACAAACAACAACTTCGGCGCTCACGTTCCTTCAGCTGAAGCGCGGTCGTGATGTCAAGGAACAAGGTATGGGATGTGCAAGGCCTTGGGATGCTTGAGTGGTGCTGCTCGTCATGAAGAAGGGCACAAGTAAGGGTTCAAAAGAACAGATGCAGGGGTGCGTGGCAAGGAGAGCTCGCACACGGAGGGCGGGGGGTGGGGCCGGCGGCAGTTGGTGGGGGGGGAGTTGGTGGGGGGGAGTTGGTGGGGGAATCGGGGGAGGTGGAAGAGTATGGAAGAGTAGAGGTGGAAGAGTAGAGGTGGAAGAGTAGAGGTGGAAGCGGTGGAAGAGGTGGAAGGGGGCGGGAGGCTCTCCAAACTCCAAGGCGCAGGGAGGGAGTGGGTTGATGTGCGGTGGGTACGGATCTCGGGAATGTGAGGGGGAAGGGAGCGTGGAAAGTAGGGGGGGTTGTGCAGCCAGCCATATGATTGCAATAGCACGAAGCGATGATTGACATTTCCTCCAATCATTGTTCTACATCTGTACTGCAGTGGTAGTATACTGTGTATACTAGTATACAGTAGTAGGGCCTATGATTGCATTTCTTCGTGGTTGTGAAACCAGTAAGCAATGATTGATAACCTCCCCACATCAGCGCAATCTTGCCAGCCTCGCCCCGAGCAACATTGTGAACTCGGGCAAACCCCGCGCTATGCATGCGTACTGGCAGGGCATGTGGCATTTTGAACACAGAATGCTGCAAGCAGAGAGCTCAGAAGTGATAGCGAAGAGCACTCTAGTGACTCTAGTGCTTACCAGCACTATCTGAAACACAGTCGACAGAGAGGTGGGCTGATCGTGAGTGCGAGGGCAGTTCCATGAGTTGTGCCTGAAGGATAGCTGCGGTGTGCTCCAGAAGTATGCAGGCGCTTGTGGACGAAAATGTTGCCGGTTTCCCTGACGTTTGTCTCACTGCATTCATGTCGCAAGTGTCCATGATATCCATGGCAAGCAATGCAAGCACCAGCCTGACGATGGTTGTTCTTCCCTCAATATAGCAGATCTGCAGTGACAGCGCCGCACCTGACAAGCTCCACATTGACCAGCCATCACACACTGAAGACAAGTCAGCTTTCAGCGTCATATCAATCGCCGCAATGCGAATCGTGGTCAACAGCACTTCTGGCTGATTTGCCTGTTTTGTGCTGTGCCTTGCAGATACGGCTCGTATTGGATGAACAACCAGGCTACCGCCCAGTGGCCGTGTGGCTGTGGGAGGCATGGTTTGACACATGTTGACAGAGACTTTGCACATTTTAGTGAAATGTAGTGGCATTGCGATGCACTGCGTAGCCTATGTGGTAGCATGTTCAAATCACTGGCACTTGGCAGGTGGACGAGGAGTGCTGTTCCATCTGCCGTGTTGCAGTTGCATTGAGAACTGAACGTTAACTGCGAGAGTAGAAAGCAGCACGTGGCAGCACATGCACATTAGCACATGGCAGCACGTGGCAGCACGTGGCAGCACGTGGCAGCATGTGGTAGCATGTGGCAGCTGATTTCAAGATTGTGTCACGAGCCTGGCTGTTACTCAGAATTTACACACCAGCCTTTAGTGTGCTTCAGTCTTCAAGGTATGCCCTTCGATGCATGCTGCCCAGAATGTAAGATGCCAGGCCTGTCTGAGAGCATGTTCCATGAAGTTCCATGCACCCTGGCAGAGGGAAAGAGAATGACCATATCAGAGGTGACGATTGTCCACCAGTCTGGGGCCCTGTCCCCAGTACCACGAGACGCAAACAAACAACCAGTGTTGCAGCTGATTGTAGGGCCCATCAATCGCTCTCAGTTGCTTTGTTGTTGAGGAGAATGCGGACACCACTTTCACATTCATTGCATCATGAAGTGGTTGCAGAAGGAGCAGAAGCAGCGCACCACCTCGGATAATTTGTGTTTGCTTGCTGCGTGCACTCGCTGTGAATCCGACGTGATCGAAGGTGCCCCATGTGCCGACGAGAATGGAAGTTTCGCCAATGATCGTCTGAGCGTCACAAAGCATGCATTCAGACTGTGAGACTGTGCGGGAAAGACTTAGTGTTGCAGAGTATCCTGCAACGTTCTGTGCATGTGCAGATCCCCGACAAGATGCGTTCTTAGTCAAGCCTCAAAGTTGTCTGCACATCACACTGGCCATGGGGTGTCTGCAAGATTTGTGCTTTCGATTCGCGCCACGAATGGAGATTTCATCACGCAGTAGAAGCCCCTTGTTTTTTTGTCTTTTAAAGTTGTATGGCACCGTGGGGCTCGCCACCCAGCACATCCATATTCTAGATCCCCATAGGTCAATGAAAAAGCACTTAATCCTAGGTGGGATAAGGGGGACCCTTAAAGGGGAACCCCTTCTTAACCCTCTTCTGGCTCTCTTGACAAGGGACCTTATTCAGAGGGTCTATATCTGCAAGGGTCCCCCTAATCCTATCCCCTACTTAACGAAGCTCTCCTCGCGAGATGGAGTAAGATGGTTGCTTGTGTGGCGTGACAATGGCAACGCTGCCCTCACTACCCACTGCCTTGCCGCATCTGGCAGCGTACCAGACTAGATGGATCCAAGATTTGCTTCATCATCATCTCTATCTTGATGCAGTGTTCTTGGCCGAGCGGCTACCCGGCTTTCCAGACGTGGAAGATGGTACAGTACTAGAGGTCTGGGCGGAAGCCCTACTATCTGCCGGAGAGTACTCTCGCATCCGATGGCAGCTCCAGGGACTTAAGGACAGATCGCTTTCCCCTCGCGTGCACTACTTGCTCGCTCTTGCTTGCATCAGGCTAGAGCGATATGGCGAGGCAGAGGTTGCTTTATTGTCAGGGAACCTGGATCTTGTGGAATCGTGGCGAAATGGACATGTTCAGCCTCTGGAACACGTGGTTGAAGGTGCCGCAGGTACGTACCAGTTGGGTCGGGTGGCAGAAGAAATGGGTAGAAAGAAGCAAGCCTTGGAATGCTACGCCAGCTGCTTAAAGAAATGTCCATACATGTGGTGCGCCTTCGAGCGGTTTAGCTGGCTGTCACTGTGCCAGAGGGACAATCACAGGGGACATTCCAAGAACTTTGAGGATCCAAGTCATCCAAGTCTGCCGACTACGGCTCGAATAACTCTGTCACGTGATCCACGCAGTGTTGGAGACCCAAGCACGGATGTCGTTATCCAGGGATGGATACCACACACTCCACGGAAGAGACGGCGGAGTAGGAGCTCCAAAAAGCGCCAACAGCAGAGCAAGGCCGGATGCACTCAGATCCACCCTCGAAGACCGCCGCAACAATCCCTAGCAGGTGAACAGGTGATAACAGGTGAGACTGTGACTGCAGGCTCCTGCATCCGCGGCCTCCCCTTCAGTGTGCTCCGTTCTCTCGCCAAGAAAGTCTGGCGAGCAAAGCTCCGCAGAGCAAAGCTCCGCAGCTTCCTCATCTTATTGGGAGGATAGAAGACATCTCCCGAAAGCCACGATTCCTTGTCGAGATGTACCCTGAGGCCAGAGTGGAGCTCTCCCCTGCATCGACTCATCCCGAGGCATTGACGAAGAGACTGTCTTGTGAAAGGCAGCGGTAGGCAGCGTGTGTCACAGAATCTTAGGCGAAATCTTACATCGACTTAGAGACTGCTTTTGCTTTGGACGTCATTTGGATGCGCTTCGGTTCTTTCCTGGATAGGCGCCGGCGCCTGCCAAGCTTGTGCAGGGTCCACAGCACTCCGACAGTATCTGGCGGTACTTCTGGCAGCGTTTTGGTCCGCGTTTGTAACAGATCGCAATTCCCACGCCCTCCATTTTTGCCTCCATGTTTTCGGAAGCCACTCTTTAGCCACAGCAGCCAAAACATGGCGGAGCCATAACATGGCAGCAAAATGGAGGTGGATTCCCGGATCGGCCTAGGATTCGGAACCCGTCCATTAGGTCACATCCCACTCGCACATTTGCGCTTATTCAGACACCCCGTCGTTCATGGCCCGTTCAACACATCGGAGGCTTGCGAATCTATTTACTCATGCCTGAACAAACACAATCTCTGAAGGAGTCGATTTGTTTCGGGATTTTTTTTCCGCCTGTGGGTATTTCGGCTCTGTTGGGGGCAGAAGCAAGTGTATCAGTAGCCACTACGAAATGGTAACAGCATGTTGCTTGAAGAAATCATTATAAATCAAAATGATTTCCTATATGCTTGCATACAGAGCCTCTATTTCCTCGAGGGCTTGCTGAAAAGGAAAACATCTATGTATTTGAGAAGGAGAACTTCTATTTAGGCGGAGAGGAGGCAATCTGACGTCCTCCTGCTTGCACCCATCCGTGAAATTCTCGGAAGCCGCTAAGCAGCGCAGTGAATACTTACATTACTTACAGATGAAATCGCTTCTGCTCCGAGGCTGCCGATCGTCTTCGAGGAGTCTCTTTCCACAAGCAATGGGGAGCAAGCGGAGGTCGACTGCTCCGTTTGTTCGACTGCCAAAGTTTACTGTGTCTTGCTGATGTAGTTCTTAAGAACCTGCCAGTTGTGCATGTGCATTCTCTACAATCCACTTGCGCACATCGAAATCGATCAACCTGTTGTGTTTGGTGGTGTGCTTCATGTCTCTCGTCTCTGCACGAACCGCGCCATGTGCAAAGGTCGAGGGGTGATGCGTATCGCAGCCAGTCCAAGCACAACAGTTTTTCCGAGGCATGCTAACCAGCAAGAAAAACCGAACGACTCTGCGAACTCCAGCCGCAGCGTGCAAGAGGGACTGGGGCGCAAGTTTGCAAGCGAGCAGCTGCCTTTGGCATCCATCTGCAGCACATTTTGGGGAGCTGAAGGCCCATCATCTGTGTGTGTGTGTGTGTGTGTGTCATGCTGTGTGTTTCTGGATTTTCCTCCATGTTCTTCCAGTGCCAATGAGCCGGTGAGCCAAACAACACAAGTTGGTTGTGAGATTGATTGTATGCCAAGAAGAAGGAGAAAGAGTCATTGCTATAGGAGTAGGAGCAGGAGAAGGGGTGAGGGTGGGAGTGTCCGACTCGCACTGCGACAGCGAACTTCTGCTTTATGAGAGCCGACTAGGCAGTGTCAGAGCCTCACAACAACGCAACAGCGGAGGGAAAGGCGTGTGCGGACACATCGGACTCCAGCAACGGCGGAACAGCGCAAGGTCAGAGCCGGCCCAGACACGAGCTTTTGCGTTTTCCATCCTGGTAGGTCAGAACACCTGAGAAGGAGACAGCCCAGTCAGTTCGGTCCTTAGACTTTGTGAAATCCAGCCCTAGCTGTAGGTAATCTGTGCGCTGTAATAGTGCCACTCGGAACTGCAACTATCTCATGCAGTCTCAATGCAGGAGGAGATGGTCACCGTGCTCCAAGGAGTTGCAGAGGCCCTCGCACTATGCAGCGGCTGCTTGCGCTCGAGAGACCTGAACAGTAGCTTCAGAGTAGCTTAACCATACTTAAACGAAGCTTCCCTGTTCTCCTTGCTCCCGACTATGTTGCCTTTCAGGAAAGAGTCAGAATGGACCCAGGATGTTAAACCGTATGTCCGTAGGGCAGGTGTATCAGGTGTGAATTCGGTCTCTGGCTCACAATGTGACCCGTCGAGGCGCTGCATGCCATGCAGGGTTTCCATTGCCAAGATGTCGCTGCCTGAGCTCTCTGGAGTTTGATGCTACTAGTGACACAACTTGCTGAACTAAGGCTCTTGACATTCTCAGCAAGCTGCCGATGCAAGAGCAAGAGTCAGCTGTCTGCCAGGACAGCAGCGGAACTTCTGTCCTGATGCTCTGCTGCAACCATCACAGTACTGATGAGCCTGTTGGCCGGATCAGGATCTAGCTGCTCGCTGTAATTTCGAACTCCAGAACTACAAGGATGCAGCGCGTATTTACAAGCCGCTGGCTTACGTGGGCTCCGGCCAGTTTGCAGTGCGATGATGTCTTAGACCCTTAGAGCTGCGCAGGCAGTGCTTCGCCCGACACAAATTCCACTCATCATTGGGGGTGGAGCACGCCCGCCAACAAGACCGTTAGTCCATGTGCTTATGTAGATCTCTTCGTTGCTGTAGTTCTCGGCTCTTGCAGGTACTACTCGACTGCGCTGTGGCATCTGGGGGACCGGGCGGCCATCAGTGGACATGCCTAGCAGAGCATTTTAATTTGCATTGCAGGAACTCGGAACACGTATAAGGGGTCAGGCAGAGACAACAGTAGCCATATTGAACACAAATGCTGTTGGACTCTAGCCGAGCCATGCGAACAAATCCAAACAGATGTGCAGCGGCGCGCTTGTTTGCGTCTTTTCCCCGCTCGGTTCCTGCAGGACCGTTTGGAACTGGGCCTCCTGGCACGACAAGTCCTGGAGCGGATGTCTTATGATGATTCCACGGCACATTCCATCCTTGCCCTCTCAAGCTTGTGAGGTCGAGTCGGCAACAGCCACAGGCTCGAAACTCGATGAAACCCGGATTCTTTTTGGAGTTGTTCTAGACACCCCTGTTCTCTACGGCCGCAAGTCTGTGTCAGAGCGGTATTAAAGTCGAGCAGTTAAGATGTGCAGGCGTGGTGTGTTGTGGGCAACAGCCTCAGCCTCGAGAAAGAGCACGAAAAGGCCTTGAGAACGTCAAGCTGTCGAGTTCACTTGTGTGCTGTCGAGTTCACTGGTATTGATGTGATGTTTTATGCTGATTGCGACTTGCGCTTAGGCTATCAAGCCTGTACTTATTCTGTATAGTTGACACAAAACCTGCAGAAGATGCATCTAGCGCAACCTTACAGACATCATTCAAGTCCGGTTGTAGAGCACTGTTCTTTGCAGCCGTAAGCAAGCTTGAAGACAGCCGTTTGCCTGGACTGCAAGCACACGCTGTGTCATGCACTCGAGCCTTCGATACTGAACATGGGCTCAGCCGGCATGTTTTTTTAGCATGCACTTCACAGAGCATTGATGCGCTCGGAACATTCAGCATCTCGAGAAGGCTGCTGCTGCGCCTCCCGTGAGAACGCAGAGAGTGGAGCTTGGATGGTCCATGTTGGCCGAGTGATAAACATGTGGACAGGCAGAAGTGCAACAGAGCATCCTGAGATGTCTAAGGTTTGAGGAGCCGCTGCGCAGCTGAGCGAAATTTTCGGCTTGGCAGATGCCCATAGCTGTAAAATCCAGGACGAGTCCAGGGGTGTGACTATGATCCTCTGCTGCCAAGGCATCCGAGCGAATCCTGGTCCTCCATCAGCGCGTTGCTGGCCCAACGGAATATTGCAACGTCAATTAAAGTCAGCCTGCGAGCACGTGGCCACTTGTCCGGCCAGTGAGGAAGATGCACCGACCTCCCGTGCTGCCTCGTTTTCGTTGCAGTTCTTGTCTGTCTCGAACTGAGCCCCGTTGAGTGTACATGGATTCGGGGTTCCACGGGCTTCAGCATCGTAGCAGCTACTCAGGCAACGCCATTCTCTTGGACTTCTTTGGGAAAGTCGGAGACCTCAGGCTTGCTCGGAAGCTTGAGCATCTTTGGCATGGTAGAGCAGAGTATAGCATAGTACAACATCTTGTATTTGTTGTTGTGTGCGACAGAAGGCGCATAGATCACGGACGTGACCATGATGGCAACCTCTGTGGTCTCAGCAGTCAAGCCGCCAGGCCATGGAGAATTAGAGCTCTAGTGACTCGAGTTTCTCACTGCTCCCTTCGTTTCACGCAACTCTCTCGTCTAAGTGCGTGCCATGATGTGGTGCCGAACGATGCATGCATCTCGTGAGGGCCTACGCATTCTACCCGGACTTGGAGACCGATTTCGCCAAGGACGAAAAGTCACACAGCATGAGAAACCACTGTATGTTCCCAACCTGATTATTGATTATCCTTTTGCTTAAAGGCGGTTCACCGTGCTCCCCCTGCCGGGTTGCGGGCAGTGTTCCAGGTCATGGGGTGGCACGTACTGTTTTCCGCTCAGCACAATGTTCCGCGTGGCCAGCGGGGATGGTCATGACCATCCCCAAAGCCAAAAAAGGGTCACCCTCGAAAAGATTTGCCTAGGACCGCCCAAACATATCTCCGGGGGGGGGGGGGGAGCGAGGTTCCCGCCCTTCGCCTTAAGGCCTGAACTTCTTGTCTTGCCGCCGAACAAACAACAGCGAGTCAAGGTGACCCGTTGGCAACCCATCACAGAGTTTGTTATGTTTGTTTCGGGCGGCGTTTCGTAGGCAACCGAAAAAAGGTTTACATAGATGGAGCTCGGCTTGGCTTCTTTGCTTCTCTGGACTGGTTGTCTCAAAGCTTGCTTTGTTGCTTGCTTTAGATTGCAGCCCTGCTAGAAACAACCGCCCTGACAACAAGTTTTCCAGATTGGGGGGAAACTGAGTGAACCCGGAGCACTTCACGCTTCAATCATGGATTAGTAAGTTAAAAAACTAGACTTCTGGCCGATCGCAGTGGGCCCCACGATCTGCATGTATGGATCCCACATGGCACCCAGCGGAGATTTGCAATGTTTTTTTATCGGATTGGCGCCCCTGTACGTTGTAGCAGCGTCTCCTTCAAAACACGCAAGATGTCGGACATTGTTTGCAAAAGCTTTCTGCCGCGCAGGACCAAACACTGCGGCAGCGGTATGGCATTTGCGTTCCAGCGTGCCAGGTGCCTGGTGACGATGCAAGGGGGAGGGCTCGAGAAACGAGCGTTGACACCTTCTCCACGTCTCATCTTTTCTTCCAACTTCCCAAGGGAACACATGTGCGATCAATGTACAATGAGCTCAGCGTGAGTTCGCTGTGATGAGCCTTTCAGGCCCAACGGTGGGAAGCACCGTCCAGGACTATGGTGGAAAAATGTGTCTCGACTGATACACGGAAGCTACAAGTGTCTGGTAGCTGCTGTTAGGTTGTCCTAAACAAGCGCGGGCCGTTGCAATGTTGAGGCGACAGCCCGACTGGGTGGTTCTACAGCATCGTGCTGAGTGTCAAAGTATGTGCTCGCTTCATTTGAGGACGTTTGATTGAGGCGTGTAGCTGTAGCTAGCAGCTGTGGTGGCTATTCGCGGTTGTTGACAGAGAAAGTCAGGCCATCATTTCCAATCTTTGGGCGTCCGTGGCCTGGCATCGTGCTGATAATGCCGCGAGCTTTGACTGAAGCTTGCAGATGTTTGTATGATCAGGTTGTGTACCATATCAGCAACCCGCCGTTCAAAGCAGCACGGCGCAGCGCACACAGACCTTCGGTGTCTGTGGAGTTGCAGAAGTTAACAACTCAGTGCTACGGTGTCGAGGTTATGTGCTTCGCCAGCATGTGAGCCCGTTGTCGGAGCTCCGTCCAAACCAGAACAGGCTCCTTGATAGTGTTGCTGACGTTAAACGTGGTGGCTTCGCTGGCTTGCGTCACTGGCTTCAAAACAAAGAAGGCGAGAACCACAATAGTGCCAACGGCGCAGGTGTGTGGCCTGAAGAGGGATGGGACGGAGCGCCTCGTGCTTAAGAGCTGCAAAGAGTTTACCGATGCTTCTGCACGTGAAGGACAAGTACTGGCTTCTAGAGCGGCCTGACACCTCCATCGAAGATGGCTGGAGTCTGGTGCTGAAGTCCATGTCTGCACTATTATTGTCAGCAAATCAAACAAGATATTCCTTCTTCCTTGTGGCCGTGGCCTTTGGTTCAACGAAGGAGCCGAAGGAGCTGATAGCGCTCTGATCACTGCTGGGCACTTGGCCGTTTTCAGCTGTTTTCGGCATCTTTTGCGATGGCCCCACTGCACCGCATCGCACCTCCAAAGGGTTGCTTAAAGTCATAACATCTTGTGTGTACCATCGTGCGTGCGCCCTGGGGCTGGGGGAAATCCATTCCAAACGAGATCTGCGAATAAGCATGAACCTACCTTAAACCGTTGAAGTTGTATATCTCTGCGCATGCACGCGGGAGAGCCGCTCCGAACGTCAACCTGCGCAGTGTGGCACGGCTAGACCAATCAGCAGTCACTCTCACCAGCTCGCGTGAGCCTCGTGTGGACCCTGGTTTCAACATACCATAACATCACGACATTGTGATTGCTACTGTCTCGTGTCTGAAAACTCGTGCGCATCGTGCGTAGTTGTTCAACTGGCAAAGTTTTGAGGGTTCCGGACATAGTTAATTGAGGTGCGCGCTCGGGAACTCGCTTCGCGACTTGTATGGCTCCACGTCGCGCGTTGTGACGTCGCGTTGTGGCGCATGACAAGGTTGTGTCACGACTTCGCCTGCGATGGCGTGACATTACACTACGCTTTGCAGTGATGCCTCTACCACATGCCTACCAGTAGTAGTTCTACCTAGGCCTGTTTTGTTTAGCCTCGCCTTTCACGATCTCCGAAGCACGTCGTGGGATCCTGTCATGGGCTCCGACGCATCACCGAGCCCTTGTCATTCATGGAGCAGGCATGGTTCAGCATGACCGTTGTTCGGGAGGATTGGGAGGGTGCTAGATCTGTTCGGACCCCTTCCTCCTGGAGTCCTGGAGCCTAGGCCAGGGCGACTATGTCTGGCACAGCTCCGTCCAAGGCCTGGCCTTGACAGTGTTTCATGGCGCTTCAGATCCCCCAAAGCTTCCTTGCAGGCGGCGTCTTGCCGACAAAAGCTAAGACGTGAAGCTGATGTGGTCATCAGGCAAATGAAGATGCTCATTGCGTAGAGTGCTTGAAAAGTCACTGATTGAGTTAGCTCTGTTGTCGCTGAGCAACTCGGATATTTGCTGTTGCCTCACATGGGGAAAGGCCTTTGAATGACAGCGCGGGGCTTATCTCGTTTGTTTCGCATGCGACATTGCAGATTATCAGATTGTCCGCACTGCAAGGTTTGGCCTACAACCTTCTCACTTCTGTCACGAGTCCGGAGCTATGTGTAGGCATGTTGTGACAGGCGTTGTATATGACCATCCTCACCCCGAAAAGCCTCACATTGGCTTGCTAGAAGGCCCGGTGTACTCTGCCGGAAACTCCATCATGGACAACGGCGCCCGGAACTCACGAAACTGGTCATTGAACATCTTGAACGCAAGAGCAAGGCGGACCGCATGCACCGTGCATTGTTCGGAGGCTTTGATCCTTGGCCTGGGAGTTGGAATCTTAATCTTCCTTGTGCGGCAGTGCGGCAGCATAATATGAAGCGACCGCGCGGCAAGGTTGCAGGTTCAACTTTACTATCTGTGATGATCATGCTCATGTCCTGCGCTCAGACACATATGTTGAGTTTGTGAGGGAAACCTCCCCTCAGGGAGCGTCGTTCATTTAGTCCTCACGATGTGAGGCTAGAGGCCTATCAGTCTGCGGTTGGCGGGTGTGTGTGGTCAAATTTGAGCGTTTGCGAGTCTTGTTTCCCATTGTGGACTTGGAAATGGCGTGCTTCTCCGTTTTGGCCTCTTATCAAGGCTTTTTGCGGCTCTGCTCGGGCGGGCTCTTGGGTGATAAGGGGGTGGCCATGCTGATGCTGCCCTTTTGCATTTTCTGGCTGCAGACGTACGCTGGCTGGAAAGAGCTGTTACTGTAGCGTGCAAAACTGAACCATCCGCCAAGAATCACCACTTGCGGCAAAAAACATGTGAGCGCCCAGCCACAGCGGCAGTCCGCCGACATAGAACTTTCGTCCCCGTGG